AATACTTTGTACATCAACATACAAAAATACACATTTACTTACATTAAGATACATAGGTCTATATGAATACACAAAATGCACAAGTTGTTGCTTACACAGATGATTACACAAAGTAATTTACTGAAAATGTGTATGAAGTTGTATAAAATTATAATTTAAAACCACCAATCTACCAACTAACTGATCTTAGTCAGATTGGCTGACTGGAGTTTTATCAGACAGTGCATTATTCCATCAGATTCATGTTTACTTGACTGTGTTGTGGATAAATATTTTTCATAAAGGATCAGACGATGCCTGTCTTTATTCACAAATAACACAACTTTGTCTCCCTCTAGTGGGACATTTAGTCATACAAACTTTGTAACAGAAGACCCAGGTTTCATATGTAGTGCTACACTATCGCTTTTTTGCGAAGGTGAAATATAAGAAAATAAGAGGTGATGCTGAAACAGTTTAGGAAACGTGTTCAAGGAGCCTTAAAGCTGGACAGACATAGACAAACACCAGACAGTAGTTCACTCTTTCTTGTTTCATTTAACGGAACGGAGTGAACCTGGACCATAGGGAAGTCCTTGTTTCCGTCTGATGTTATCTTGATCCCGCAGGAACTGGGGCATGACCCAGTTAACACATTATGGTTGCTGAACTTAGCAGCATTTGCTTTGACTGTACACTTCTAAAGATAACAACATTTTCTGATGCAGTGGTTGTATCATTGCATTATAACAAATGGAGTTTGATTTATGTTAAATTTATGTACAGAGGACAAATGAAATCTGTCAAATTGTTGAACCACTCCACTGGATAATACTGTACTGTAGCCAGGATAATGTGGCTTTTCAGCACTGCTCAAACTGAATGGTGCCATTTGAAGGGTATATGTTGGAAGAATTCAGTCATCCATGTCTTTTGTCCATTGTCTAGCAGCATTAAGCCAAGGCTATTTGAACTGATGAAACCAATCAGAACAGCAAAACATTTTTTAAGTTTTACCACAAGTTCAGTCAATTTGATCTGCTTAATCCAATGTCAGGATTAATTTACATGCAATTAATTGTAGGTTAAATCCTCACAGCATTCAGTGACATGTTGTAGCAAAGGTTAGAGCCCCTTAACCAGAGGCAAGGCATGAAGTCTAGAAAAAAGGGGTTGGATCCGCTCACACACACATGCACATTTTCTAAGCTGCTTATCCTTCTGGGTTGTGGGGGGAGCTGGAGCCTATCCCAGCGGTCAATGAGCGGAAGGCAGGAAACACCCTAGACAGGTCGCCAGTCCATTGCACAGGCAGTCAGACAGACATATATATTCACACGCACAATCACACCTAGGGACAATTTAACATATGCAACTGGCCTGACTGCATGTCTTTGGACAGTGGGAGGAAACTGGAGCACCTGGAGGAAACCCACGCAGACCCTTTTGGGTAGCGCTGTCACCTCACAGCAAGAAGGGCTTGGGTTTGATTCCCAGCTGGGCGACCAGGATCCTTTCTGTGTGGACTTTGCATGTTCTCCCCGTGTCTTAAGCATTACACAACTTTACCAGCCTTTTGTTGGCCCTGTCCCAACTTTTTTGGAACGTGTTGCTGGCATCAAATTCAACATGGGCATATATTTTTCAAAAAACAATAAAATTGATCGGTCTTTGTACTATTTGTCAATTACATATAGGGTTTAAATGATTTGCACATCATTGAATTATGTTTTTATTTACATTTTGCACAGCATCCAAACTTTTTTGGAAATGGGGTCGTATTTGAAATCAATTTCTTCACAAAGAGGACATCTGAAGTACTGTTTCCATTTCCTTTAATAGCAGCATATGAGATTCTTGAAAATCCCACCACTGCAATTTTCATAAAAGAGTGAACGATAGTCATTTTTTGTCAGTTGTATTTTTACTTTTGGACACAAAGCTTAAATTAAACCTTAACACCTTATACAAATTAATCCTTTGGTATGTTTCTAAAGATTTCAGTCACACACTTGACCACAGTTCAAGTTAAATTTGATAAATTTGCATTTGATTTTTTAATTCAGTGATAACAGTGTTTTAAGCTCTCATAAAATCATGTTTTAAGCTTGAATATGAGCCATAACTAAAAATACGCTTACACTCTTAAAAAAGAAGGTAAAGAAGGTTCTTCAAGGGTTCTTTATGATTCGTTATAGAACTATAAACATTCAAAAGAACTTTTGCATGATTAAAGGGTTTTTTGCATCATGAAAGCGTTCTTTAAATTGATGAAGAATGTGCTGTTGATGGTTCTATATAGAACCTTTTTTGAAAATGGTTCTATATAGCACCCAAAAGGTTCTTCTATTATTTTGATGTCAAGCTTGTAACAATAGAAGAACCCTTTTGGTTGCTATTTAGAACCCTTTTCAAAAAGGTTCTATATAGAACCATCTATAGCACATTGATGCACATTTTCAATCAATCTGAAGAACCTTTTCATGGTGCAAAGAGAGTTCATAAGTTCTATAAAGAACCATTTTCTTTGCTAAAGAACCTGTGAAGAACCATTTTTTTAAGCTTACAAGGTAAAAACTAGAAATTAACTAAGGCTATTCTTCGCCCTTCACATAAACGTAAGTTTTCTTGTGCCTTCATCTTCTCTGTCTTTCATGCAACATGTTCCAAAAAAGTTGGGACGGGGGCAACAAAAGGCTGTTAAAGTTGTGTAATGCTTAAAAAAAACACCTGGTGGTTGATTGGCAACAGGTCAGTAACATGATTGGGTATAAAAGAGCATCCCAGAGAGGCTGAGTCTTTCAGAAGTAAAGATGAAGAGGAGTTCACCACTCTGTGAAAGACTCTGTGTGAGCAAATAGTGCAACAATTCAAGAATAACGTTTCTCAACGTAAAATAGCAAAGAACCTTTGCTTTTCATCATCTACTGTACATAATAACATTAAATGATTCAGAGTAACTGGAGAAATCTCTGTATGCAAGGGATCTCTGTATGCAAGGGCCAAAAACCAGTATTGCTGGCCATGATCTTTGGGCCCTCAGACAGCACTGCATTAAAAACAGACATGATTCTGTAGTGGATATTACTGTATGGGCTCAGAAAAACTTTTGAAAAACACTGTCTGTGAAAACAGTTTGTTGCTGCTACTCTAAAACACAAAGAAGAAACCATAAATAAACAGGATCCAGAAACACAGCCGCCTTCTCTGGGCCCGAGCTCATTTAAAATGGACTGAGGGGATGTGGACAAGTGTCCTGTGGTCTGACAAATCAACATTTGCATTTCTTTTTGGAAATCATGGACACAGTGTCCTCCGGGCTAAAGACCACTCAGCTTGTTATCAGCACACAGTTCAAAAGCCAGTGTTCATGATGGTATAGTGGTGCATTAGTGCACATGGCAGGGGTGATGTGCACATTTGTGAAGGCACCATTAATGCTGAACGGTATATACATGTTTTGGCAACATATGCTGCCATCCAGTTGATGTCTTTTCCAGGGAAGACCTTGCTTATTTCAGCAATACAATGTCAAACCACATTCTGCATGTATTACAACAGCATGGTTCTGTATTAAGAGTCCGGGTCCTGCAGTCCAGACTTGTCACCGGTGAAAACATTTGGAGGTTTATGAAATGAAAAATACAAATGAGCCCCCAAACTGTTGAGCGGCTGAAATCCTATGTTAAGCAAAAATGAGAAAACATTTCACTTTCAGAACTACAGCAATTGGTCTCCTTAGTTCCCAAACACTTACAGAGGGTTGTTAAAAGAAGAGGTGATGAAACACAGTGATAAACATGCCCCTGTCCCAACTTTTTTGGAGCATGTTGTTGGCATCAAATTCAAAATGGGCATATATTTTTCAAAAAAACAATAAAATTTATCAGTTTCAACATTTGATTTGTTGTCTTTGTACTATTTTCAATGAAATATAGGGTTTAAATGATTTGCACATCATTGATTTTTGTATTTATTTACATTTTGCACAGCATCCCAACTTTTTTGGAAATGGGGTTGTACTAATGTGATGTATGTGAAATAATTTCTTACATGAAAATTTCTTATAAGATAAAGGCTTCTCACAGGTTTTCACTTCTGTTCTTTACATGCTACACACTGAGTTGCTAATAACACTCAAAAAGGTATTTGCAGACATAGAGTGTATTTAGGTAAGATTACATAACAAGAAAAACATAGATACATTAATATTACAGTGTAGTATAATTACAATATTATTACAACATATAGACACTAAGAGCAACAGCACTTTGTACATAGATAAGAAAAAATAATTTTAGAGTTTTAAAAGAAAAACTGCTTTTGTTGGCTTAAAATCAGGCTTGCTTGTGCTTAATATGTTGAACCAAATCTTAATTTCGAATGATATCCTACACAGATGAAAAAATATAACAGGCAGGGATATATGTTTATATCAGGGTGTTAAAGCACAACACAACAATAAAGCAAAAAGTTAACCAAGTTAATAAGCCACAAGCGTAATCTTGTGAACTGTAAGCGCAGTAAAATGATTGCAAGTCTATTCAGAAGGAGAGTAATTATAAGTAAATGGTCAATAAGGAGCCCAGAAGTGAGTTTAAATCTTCACTGGCTGCATACCATGTTGCTCCTGTTGAAAACTTAGGATTAAAAACACGGATGGCTAAAAACCAATAGTACAATCAATGATACCAACACAGGAATAACTTAGTCTCTCAAGTCAACATTGTCTTGCGGAGAGAGTTATGTTTGGTAATGTTACGTATTCTAAGAGGAGTGGTAGTGCAAATTTTAAGTGCTACACATTGTGTAAAAAATAAACAAATTCATTCATTCATTCATTCATTGTACTAGGTTACCACCGGAATATTTTCTTGCTTTTAAAACATCATCAGTGAAATGAGTGACACTCTCAGAAACATCTGAAAATCCTGGTCCAGGACTTAACTTAGTGGTAAATTAATATGTAGCTACGGTTCTTAATGTTGTTTGAAGATAATAACATTGAAGATGATGAAGCTCCTTCAGGCTGCATGTGCCCCCCAAAAAAGATATTGTAAGTCATGTGTTCTTTACTCTACTGTTCTAAGTCCAAAAAGGAAATGGTTTAGGCTCAGCTTGAGAGTCCATGGATAGCCTGAGAAAGAAACAGAATCATTTTGTTTAAACAAATTAATGTATCACTTCATAAAATAATTTATGTTGTGGGATCAAAAAGCTGTAAACATTACTAAAAAGAAGTAATTTACTTTATACTAGTAATAGCTATTAGCCCCTAAATTTGGTTCTAATCTAGCTATTCTTTTAACTCTGCAGAAGGGGTGCAGGAGCTCACCAAGTGCTGGTTGTCGTAGGTCTCAATCAAGTCTTCATCTTCTGTGAAAGGTGGTGGTGCTTTGTCATCCTGCATCTGTGAAATCTGGACATTGGAAGAGGTGCAAGAGGTTAAGATGAGGAAAAGATTCTCAAGCATACATTAACAACTCAGGTAAGGCTGTAAAGTATAGTAAAACATCACTCCAGCTTCATGATGGAACAGGACAGAGAGAATGTGGTTTTTATTGTTTAAGTGGCAAAGCGGTAGATCTCTCAGGAATCATAAGATGCTAGTGCTAGGGTTTTTACAGAAGTCCAGAGAGGCCATAAGCTGTTGCAATAATTTTCTGGATTGTTATCTTGAGATGAAGAGTTAATTTATCTTGTGATCTCAAGATAACAACCTTGTTAATTAACTTGTTATCTCAAAATACCAACTTTGTTATCTTAAGTTAACAAGATAACCAACTCAGTATTTCAAGATAACAACTTTGCTATCTTGAGATCACAAGATAATTAACTTTTTATCTTAAGATAACAAATTTTGTTATTGCAGGATAACAAGATAGTTAACTTGTTATCTCAAGATAACAATACAGAAAATTATAACTACCTTATGGCCTCTCTGCACTTCCATAGGTTACAAATTGGTGCCACATAAGATGAGTTTGAGTGGATTCTTTCAGAGAGATGTCCAATGTGCTTGATCACATTTCTGTGTTTTTAATGTGAGACAAAATCTGAACTGTGTTTGAAAACACTCTTCACTGAAATGGAAAATGGAAATTCTGATGGCAAAATATGACCAAGTGATGGCATCTCATGGAAATCGCTAGATTCTTAGCATCACATCAGCCCTCACCTACCATGATGTGAGTGTATCTGAAAACATTCCTAATGTATGTACTATATTCAAGCAGGCTTTTGACAATGTTGGTCATGAGGGCAATAATGTCTCAGGTACCTTCTCTGCCATTGAGTCATCTGAACTCTCACTGCTGGTTTCCATTTTGATGTAGAGAATGGCATCATGAACAGAGAGGAAGAGCAGGCCTCTGTTCACCACCTCATCAAAGAAACCCATGGACTCCATCTTCATGATGATGTCATCTGCAAGAATTATAACTTAGGGTAAAGATATATACCGTTCATTATCTTCCCCTGAATCTAAGTTAGCTACGATTTTGAATGTTGTTGTATTTCTTGTTTAGAAATTTTCTAAGCTTTTCCTAAAAATAGTGAAGTACAATTTTTGGCATGTAAAAGCAGATAATGCCATTATCTTTTACAGACAGTACCATTTACAGTGCAAAACAAACTGTCATTAAAGAGAAATTTGTTTGCCATACTACACATTTCAAGAGTACTGTATTCTCTATACTGTATTGTAAGACCCAAGCCATACCATCACAGCCTGCAAGGTAGACATTGACTCCAATGCGCATAAATTCCTTTATGATCTGTGAAAAGTGAAGACAGATGATGAATCACTGACTGATCAATTCATGAAAGACTGACACTATAAACTGTTACTTTTGAGCTCTGAGAAAAATACTGATTAGCAGTTCACTTCACCATGTCTGTACCGCATATGTGAAGCACACCCACACCTTCAAAACGGCCAGTAGGAAAGCAGTGCATTTTAGATGAGCAATAGTAAAATTATCAATGATAAAAAACGATGAACACTCAAAAAATAGCTATAATCATGTATTTTTTATAGTTTTTATTGTATGGGAAGATGATTCCTCTGAGTGGGCAAGACTTATCTCCAGGTGGGAAATGCCCACCCCAGCCCACCCATTGACACGCTCCTGAAACCTTCAGAATTATTCTTCTTAACATCTAAAAAGGTCTTTTATAGTTAGAACTGGATAGAAGTATACCAAAGTGACAGTTCCTCTCGAAGAACCTGCCTGGCACCAAGGCCTTTTCCAAAACCTAATGCCAGGTGGAAAACTTCTGTGACATATCAGGTGCCATTTAGTCTATGGCAGTGTAAGGATGCAGTAGTAGAACACTAGATTGCTATCTTGATGCCTGCAAGAATTGGTAGAGTCTTCCTTTTTAAGTGTTTTCATTAAATGGATTTCACTTGCATTTGCCTGAGTATCACTAATGTCAGTGTTACATTTACAATTCTTCCAACTACACAAAACTGTAAGAAACCATTCAGGATGTTTTTCATGCTTCAAAAATTCTTAAATATCAGTTTAATCCATTTTTCTCTGTCTTACTGAAGAAACAGTTATTTTGAGGACCCACCAGTTTTAGAGACTTCGCAGCCATTACGTCCAGGAAGGAGACAGAAGTGAAATCCATCACCAAGCTGTGGATGTTGACTTTAGGGACTGTCACACTGACAGGCAGTGCGGAATTCCAGTCCACCTGCACTTCCACTTCCGCTGCTGGACGAGCCCCACCCTTCACTTCTTGCTGAGCCCCACCTTCCACTTGTTCAGGGTCCCGCTCAATCTCAAATGCCTCATTGTCCACACCCAGAGGGGCCACTGGCACCAACCCATTCTGCAGCAGACATTGTGAAAGGTCAGGAGAAAATATGTTTCAGATTACACAAAGTTGCACATTTAGTCATCGGTTTTGAGTATGATGAGTTTCAGAGACCAGAACATAATATCCTTCGTTATCATTCTAATGTTCATTGTAACTAATAATATGTTAAAATTTTAAGAAAATCATTACTTCGTAGAAGGTTTCGGCAATTTAAATGAAAAATAAATGCTTGTAAATAAACGTTATTGTGGTATTCACTGTGCTCTGTGGCTGTTTGTGTACCTCAGTGACTTTCAGTTTCCCTTTTTTAATTAACTGGTGAATCTTCTTCAGTGCTTTGTTCCTTTTCTTAAACACTCGTACTGCATTAAATCCCACCTGTTGAAGGACAGTAAAAGTGCACGTAGGAATTTAGTTAAAAATGTCAATATACCAATAAAAAATCATTAAAATCTAGAAAATTGGTGCAAAAATTACTAAGAATTTAAGAACAAATTCAACTCACTGTATGTTTTATCTGGTCTCTGAGGTATTCAATGTTGGCAAAATATATGGGTGCTGCGCATTTGAAAATCTTCGTTCCAGGACACTCAATAATCTGAGAGGCAAATAACATCAGTTTTATGCCTTGTGTAAAGAGAAATATCTGAGTGAATGGAAATAAAGGCATGTAACATTGTATTTTCTTACATTTTTGTAGTCTTTCATATTCTTGTAAATTTCTGTGCTGGGTACATTTCCAAGTGTTGAGCAGTTGGGACTACAGAGAAAATTATAAATGAACAAGAGTTTGCACCATGCACAATAGATTATAAAAAAAATTGAATACATTATCATTTTTTTGTTCAGAATACTTTTTCTGCCCATGTTTTTTATTGAAACTGATTTGTGTAGTAAAATAATTTGTAATTGTTACTACTTCAGAAAATTTTTTGCATATCAGACTTTTTTAGGATGCAATAAAATGCTATTTATAGGATGCCAAGGCTACTTACAACTGTGTCCTAATAACCACAGTGCCCAGCTCAAATATTACGCCAGCCAGCAAACCCACATCCAGTCCCAGGATGATGCAGGCAATACATGTAAACACCCAAATAAACTGTGGGATTGTACAAGATTGTGTCAGAATTTGTACACTTTTACACTGTAGTCAGACTGTAGATAAGAAACTTCAAGCTTTTTTTCTGTTTTATCTGACTTTATCACCACAGTCCAATGCTGTCTTGTAAATTTTACAATGTTCTGTTTGCACAATTGTCAATGAAAAGGCACTTTTATAGTATATAATTATATCAAATATTTTGACTTGGAGTCCAAATAGTTAATCTGTCATGGTTCATGGTTCAAATTCACTGACAAGCATTTGTTTCTGTATTACTCATATTCTTCATACTTTGCGTGTATGTATTTCGACTTACACAGTCTGTCTTGTTCTTCCTCCACAGTATGGGCACATCATGCACCTGCATGAACATTCCTTTCAGGTTGGCAACAATAATGGCCCCCAGCACTGACTGGACATCCAAGAGAAGGAATAGAAAGTTAAGTGTTTAACTGCATGATTGTATCATGTCATATTCATATTTAAACGTGGCTGGTTAAGTCAGTGTTGTGCAGGTCAGGATGGACGTAGGGGGTCATACTACATTGGATATGTGTCTAAATGTTCTTTTAGAGGAACAGACATGGCCCCTAAGGCATCACTCGAAGGAACCCACTTCTGCACCTTTATGTTTAAAACTATACTGCTATCCCCTTTAAATTGAGGAGGGTCTGACTGCAGAGTCGCAGAACCGCAGATTTACACCCGCAGTTTCACTCTAGCGGTTTCAGGCCAGTGGAATGCATGTGCAAAAGGACAGCGCGATTGTGCCATGTAAACAAAGTTCCCAATTGTATTTCAACCAGTGGCTGGTCTCCTCATTTATAACGTCTCTGATGTAAACAGCGACTGTTTGTGCTGGTTGTATGTGTCATCATACATATTACCATACAGGAAGGGATACCGTCGCCAATATATGAATCAACCACTGGTAAGCAGTTAAACCATAAACCAAAACACACTACGAAGCCATCAGAAACCAAAATAAACACTCGATGGTTTCTATGGGTTTTTCAGCAGAGATATGTTCAAAAACTAAACTTTGTTTTAGCCTAAAGCTTAACGTTATGCTCAGTTTAAGCCTGCTTAAGGTAAAGTTTTGTTCCTGCAAATGTAATGTAAGTGTACACATAAAGGCCCCGTATTAAGGATAAGTTAATTGAGCTATATGTCTACATAACCCATTAGTTCACCCAGGCCACATAAGCTTTGGCTTGTGTAATATTTACCCTGTGAATCTATATATGTGTTCAAACCAAAGTTTGTTTTTGCCTAAAGCCTGAAATAAAACGTTAGCCCAATGCAAATTTATCACAAAATTATTGGAAACCCACATAAAACAACTGAAATGTTGAAGGCCCTAAAACTTGCTAAGAAAAAAAACAAAACAAGTGTCAGCGTATGCTCTTCTATACCTTCTAGAGTGAAACTGCTGGCATGAAAATGTGGTTCTGTGGCTCTGCAGACAGATATTCATTTCATATTCTGCAGCCCTTTTACGTACCTTCTGTAGAGGTTGAAGCAGAGGCCCAAGAGCCACAATCACTATCAGCACCATCAGAGCTGATATTATCCCTGCCACCTGTATCAGGCACATCAGTCAGTATAACAGATTTCAACATTCATGACTTGTATTTATACATGTGTGTTTGTGTGTTTCCATACCTGAGTTTTCCCTCCTGTGCTCTCCTGTATTGCTGTGCGTGACAGTGCAGTAGTGGCCACAAATCCTGAGAAACAGCCACAGAAAATGTTGCTGATGCCAAAGGCTATCAGCTCCTATCAGAAAAGGGGAGAAGCTGGTTAGAAACTGAGAGAACAGCTTCAGATTTTACAGTGTGTTCCGAAGCTCTGATCTGCATTCCTCAGTGATGGGAGTCACTGTTTCCACCAGCTTCTTTATCTCTGTTGTAGCAGGTAATGGTGACCTTTGTAAGGTCGGTCAGTGTGCTCTATCGCTTATGTCAAAAATAATATTCACATCTGCGCATTTTATAGGTGATATTTACTCCTGCACATGCACACATACCTGACTGCCGTCAACTACGAGGTCATGTTTTGCTGCGTAGACTTTAGCTACTGATATTGCTATGGCATAAGACACCACTCCTGTGGAAAAACTAGGGCCCGCAAAACTGTTGAAGAGTGACACATCTGGTGAACGGGGTGGAATAAACCTGTTGAACATAAACACACATACACATGCATACTATAATGTCATCTGATGCTTTTTCTTCATACAATTGAAGGCTTAAAGTTTCCATTGCGGTCATAGGTCATATGTTACAGTCAGTAACATTTCTACAGGGGTTATACAGTCATGAATATTATGGAAAAGTTATGGTTGACACGTTTTGAATGGTCCTATTTAGATTAAATAAACACTCAACGGACTCTCAGTAACATGTCAAAAACATATGAGGGTTAGGATTAGGTTTTGGGTTGAAGTTAAGGTTAGGGTTAGGATTAGGGCCAGGGTCAGGGTAAGGTTGGGTAAGGTTAGGTTTTCCATAATGGAAGTAACATGTTAACAATACATCTACTTAATGTAAGTAATGTATCAACAGAACATCTACAAGATATTTACTTCAATGTGTTCAGATGCTTCACTGCTGCTACGTCACTGATATGTTGTTGATGTGTTACTGATAATCTGTTAAGGCTTTATTAATCATCTACAAAGGACCACTCAAATAAAGTGTTACCAAGTCATGAAATATATTATGGAAAAGTTATGCAAAATATTAAACATTGGAAAAATCATGGAATTTGGTCGCCTAATAAATATATTACATCCCCTCACTATGTAAAAATAATCCCATCCAAATAGAGCTTAAGTTAGCGTACTCTTTTCACTGGCTTATGGGTTATTGATAACTTACTGCATTTAATATAATTGGGGCTAAAGGTAATGTAATTGGGAATGGTGCCATCCTAATCACTATGATTATGTACGGCATGACTGTATTTTGGCAAGTCTCAAAACCGCTCTTTACAAATGAAACCGATGGGCATTTGCACATGAGAGTGTGGAAAGACTACAAGTGAAACTGAAATTGGACCCGTCGGTGGATATTTGTACCAGGTTCAACACTTCGACCTCAGAGAACAGATGTATCATTTTGCTCACTACATCAAGCGCTAATCAGTGCTCCATTAATTCAGAGCATGTGTATTTTGTAATACTGATTAGCCATTGATTTGCACTTGAGCAAAATGATATATCCATTCTCTAAGGTCAGCGTGTTAAACCTGGTGTGGCTATCCACAGATGGGTTGTGGTCATTCCATTTAAGCTGCATTCTGGTTACTGGTAATGAGTGCTTGGGGTGTTTTAATGTTTAAATTATGCTGGTCTTTTTTCCTCTCTGAACAGCAAAGTTATTCATATGTTAAATTAGTGCTTGTGGTATTGTTAAAATACAGTATCATCACAGATATATTACAGCATCATGGTATCTTGTGATGATTTTTTTATGAAGATTTTTTAGCATTGATAAAGTTTATGAACTCAGGCATCCCGAGTTTCCTCATTTTTAGTAATTTAATTTTAATTTTAGGCAAATTACTCAACAGTTAACTTAATAATATCAGGGCTTGGATAACATGAGTAAAGTGGACAAAATAAATCTGTCTATCAAATATATTGTTCAAAATATCACTAAAACTTAAAAAGCAATATCGTATGGTATGTTAATCTCACAATATACTGATATAGATGATATATTGCTCAGCACTGTGATAAATGTTTGGTGTGGAAATTTCATTTAATGTCATGGAAAAGTCAAACTGTTTAAAAAGTGTATGAACCCTGTTTTATATCTTTCTTTGCCTTTCATAAATATTCAAATCCTTTGTGTATACTAAGTTCAGACAAAGTTCACAACTTAAGATCTTTTCCATGGTGTAAGCCACCAGTGCTCTCACCCTCTTGGGATTGTGCGAACAATGCCAGCACCATAATTGGTGCTGAGGTCCATTGCATAAGACACGCCTGCATCAATGATGGTCTGTCAGAGGGAATCAAAGAGAGTAGGGCTGGAGTTACAATGAGAAATAATGAGAACAAACTCATCAAGAGACCATACTTTCTTTCATCTAGCTTCAAAAAGAAGTTATTAATGTAATAATTACTAGAATTATTTGCTATTTTTGTGTGAATAAGCATAATTTAGAACAGTAGGATAAAGCAGGTACGTACCACAATCACTTCGATGGGGATAGGCACTGGAAGCTTTTTCTGAAATTTGGTGTTGAACTCTTTTACAAGCATTACTACAATGATGGTCAGCACTCCAGCGATCAGGTCAACCATGTTGGTTTGCTTGATGTTTTTAAATATGTCACCGATAGTCTAAAAGAAATAAAAATGCAAGTTAACTCAGCAAAATAACTTGAACTGAATGAATAAATAAAGCAGAAGCTATGATGTCACTGGCTGGTGCAAACTGATGTAAGAATTGCTATCAATCATAATAATAGTTGACTAAAGATTCATTTACTTAAAAGCAGTAACAGTCGTTCTGAATGATCCAAATAAAGTGAGGGGTCATTAAAGGCATAATATATGACTGTGCTACAAAGTGATGATGCTCAGATGTTCAGATGCTTGTGATATCACAAAACTCACATAAAAGATTGACAGAATGCCGTTGTAGTTGTTGGTAGGAACGTTAAAGATCAGTTTTAGCTGGGAGACGACCACTTGCAAAGCTGCTGCTGTGGTGAAGCCTCCTACCAGTGGGTCAGACAGGTATCGCACCAGGAAGCCTACCTGGACCACACCCATGCCAAACTAGAAAACCAGAAAATATAGAAATATTTACATTATTACAGAAAGGAACAATTCTTTAATAACACCTGGGCCCAATTTCCAGAAGAAATTCAGCTGTCTCTTCACTTGGGATAATTTGAACATTCCAAGCTGTAGGAGTAATCATTTTACTTTTATAATGCAGCTACTTCATTTAATTATAGATAATGCCTTTTGTTTCAAAACTAATGTTGTGTTGGCCTAATTCAAAGTTGTCATTAACATGATCTGATCACAAGTGGACAGCAGTAAGTGCAACTGAGTTCACTCAAACCACCTTTGAAAGAGTTCAGGGACATGTATGATCATATAAAATTTACAGTGTGAATGCTAAAGTGTCTTGATGCACCAAAACAGCTTCAGAGGACCACCCTAATCAGCTGCATCATCGCTGTAGAGACGAAAGCAGCTGCATAGCTTATTTTTTGTCTCTTCTCCTCTTTGTTTGCAAGTTTAAAGTGACCTGCACACTTGCAACAGCTCTTACATTTATATGGATAAGGATTCTTAGGGCAAACACAACGAGAGACCGATGTAGTAAAGGTGCTTGATACACTTCCTCCGCTCACGAATCACGTGATCACATGTCGGGACGGGAAACACATTTGAGATGCATGCAAATGTAAACAGCTACAAGATTCGCTGTCAATGTTATGATCAGATCACTCAACAGATGTTAATACCAAGAATGAACAGAGCCTAAGAGAACCCACTCATCATGGATCTCCTGTCCTGGCTCCACCCCCAAGCCCTTTTTTGTTCATTAACGACATCTGTATAGTGTTTAGTTACACATATATTACGTCCTCCTGTGTCATTCTTTTGTTTTCCTTAATTGACCATGGCTGAATTCCCTTTGTTGAAAGTAAAATGAACTGTATTTATGGAGAGATGCCATACTCTGCACATGTACCCTTTTAGCACTTTGTTACACCATTAGCACACTCCTACATCATATGCTTGATTTCATCAAGTTCCACTTTTACTTCATTTTAGAACTGGCAAAAATTTTAGCCATACCTGAAACAGTCCTATTAGCACAGTCATAGAGGCCGCTATTGAGAGTCTCGCGGCATCCCTTGCTGTTGTATTCACCACCATCGTTGCTGTCCCATTTACACCTGTTGTATTCCCTTTATACAAGAACAGCTCATCAGGAGCAAGACTGAACACCACAGCTCCCTGCATTAGACAAGTGACCGGAAAAGGACCTGCAAGGGGAAAAGCATGAACAAAACTACTAAACAAAGGCTTAACTCTCTGTGTCAGTGTGAGTGGAGAACAGGGAATACAGCTTCTCACTACCAGACTCATCTAATAGGCCTGTTTCAGAAGCAGTGATGGTGCCTGTGAGGATCAAATAAAAGGTCCGGAATTCATATCACTATTATCCAGTGTGGAAGAGAGACCTACCCACAGATAGATGTCTAGAAGTGCCCAGAATGAAGTAGGTGAGGATTGGGAAGAACGCAGCATAGAGTCCATACACTGGAGGAACACCAACTAGCAGTGAGTACGCCAAGCCTGTGGGAAAAAAGAGAGATGCCTTTGAGCAACACATTTTTTTTGCAGACTGGAAACTTATTCACAGAACAGTACTTACCTTGTAAAGCACACACCATTCCGGTGGTGACTCCTGCTACTATATCACCAGGAAGCCATTGCTTGAGCTGATATATCGGGAGCCAATCAAGGATTGGGAAAAACTTCTTAATTATCCGTGTGACTAGTTTAGGAGAGCATCTGCAATGAAGCAGGCACACACATTAAGTGCTGTGGTGTACAGTGGTGAATAAAAAGACATTTGTTATGAGTTAAGTTAAAGGGCCACTATTTTACTTATTGACTTATATTTTTTTAAGTACCAGAATATTTTGGATGTCAGTCTCAAAGGCACATTTTCTCCTTTTTTTATACCTTAGGATTAAACAGTCTATTTTGTTACTCTGCCTTTAGGACTGATATATATAAATGACCACTGAGCCTTAGGAAAGCTGCAATGATGCGTTTTCTTCTTGACTGCCAGGAACAGCACATATTTAATCATTTTTCCCAAATCTTTGCTACAATAAGTTGTCTACAGCAACAACACTCCCAAATCACTTCAACATGAGTGGGTGAGCTAAACTGCTGTTGGTTGAAAGGTGGGTCATATGTAAATGGGTTCATAGTTGTGACATCCCACCGCATTCATTCAAAATGAGTGTTTTTTGCAGTTTAGGTTCTAGATATGGACTGGGGAGTGAACGGTATGTTATAAGTTTTACATAGTACATCAAACTCTTATTTAAAATAAGCAGAGCAAATTCAGGGTTCTAAGATATAGGCCCTTTAAATGAAAAAACTGTGGCTTTGCATTTCACCCTTTAAGCAGACTCACTTGACGGAATTCCTGAGCCTCTCTTTAACAGTTTTAGTCTCCCGGACTTGCTTCTCATTGACATGTTCGAAGGCACGGGTGGAGTAGATGGGCCGGGACACGCAGTATTGGTTCTGGCTGTCCATCCTGAAAGGTAACCTGATTTTGAATGTCAGACATTTTTCATGTTAGTGGTTAGATGTTTTGGATTTTGAAATGACCACACAGATAACAGCTTTGGATAGAACTGCCAGTACACTGTTAGAAATATAGGTTCTGTGCAGGTACATTTTTCATTCATCAAGGTACAAACAATGTAAAAGTTCCCTCAAAGGTACAACAGTTGTGAACCTTAAATAAGTTTTTCCCAGAGGAAAAATACATATTTATACTTTTCATAGCCTAATGTTTAAAAACAGAACAACAAAATAAAAAGCGTGGAGTCGAGACAAGGTGTGTGGAGTTAATACAACTCAGAAAATATAATTTCAGTGGATTATGGTACAATTATGTTCCCTGACTAAAGGTGCTGAGATGTACCCTTAAGGATACCACCCTAGTGACAAAGAGGGGTACTGCCCCAGTGACAGTTTCATACCTTTATTTCTGAGAGTGTAGCCACAATAACATCCATGTAGACTACCTCATTAAATTAGAATTTTAGACTTTGATTTCAGACCCATTTCTCTGATAACACACAGAGGCAGGCTTAGAGTGCTTTCAATGGAATGCAAGAGTGAATAGTTGCAGCAATTAAGAGAAAGACTCCCTTACGTGTAAAAATACTGGACGTCTCATATTGTGAGCGTTTGTTAATTAATTGTCCTCTATCTTCAGCAAGAGCTAAGAACAGATAAATGTGTAGACAGACACATTAAAACTGACCAAAAGAGACTCTCCCCCTATCCCACTCCTTTCTAGTCGCGCTCCACCCTCCCAGGTCTCTATTGAACATTCTGCACCTATTGATATAGGAAACCCCTCTGAGCTGAGGAAAGCAAAAGAGGGGGAGAACACAGAGCATTGCCCTGAATGAGGGGGTTTGTATTCAGAGTAAAGCGAGCAGCCTTCATCTCATTAGGGCAATGCTCACAAGCCACTGGATCAGAACCCTACACTCTTAAAAAATAAAGATTTCTAAATGGTTCTTAACTTGGATGTGCAGTTCTGAGATGTAGATAGAACTTTAGCATGTGTAGATTTGTTAAAGCTTAAAAAGGCTCTTCACACTCGCACGTCGCCTTTACAAAAATGACTAATGGACCAAAAAATGGTTCATCTATGGTACTGCTTCAAAGAACCCTTTGGCTTCTTTATTTTTAAGGATTTAATTTGTAAAGTTGGTATTGCTGTTAAAGTTATGCATCATATTGAAAATATGATACATGTTCCTCTTAAACCAGCCAAGTCATACTGTATTATGTAGATATATTTCTTTTTGTGATACAATGCAGTTCTTAATACAATAAACTGTAATTCCCTATTTACATGTAAATGTAGAAAATCTTACCTGTAAATTCACGTTTGAACTTCTCGCATCAGTTTGAACTTGCAGGAGGAAAATGTAGGTCCTCCATGACTTGGTTTAGATATAACTGCAGGTGCACTTCATGTTATACATGGTGTCCATAAATTGAAATGGCAGACAATAGTGGTCCTTTCTTCTTCTACTACTACTTCTTCCTCTTGCTCTTCTTCTCTCTCACACACTCTCTCTGAACAGGACCTGTATCCCTATCATTTGCGTTTATTTATAAGCAGGGCTCATTCGTGGGAGGTGTGTTATGACTAGGATAATGGAGACAGCTAAAGAGTATGACATCAGGGTGTCTGTCACTCAGCGTCACTCTAATATGTGTACATATGTTTGTTTTTTGTTGCAATTGCAAAAAACACATTGTCTGATGGAGAAATAGGGATGCTGCTGTAAAACTTTAAAGTGTGGGAGCTACAGAGACCTCAAAAAGTATTTTAAATCTTTGAACCTTTTAACCAAGCTCTTCAGGTTGTCCTTATAAAATGATTTACAAAATGATATTTGTTTCAAAGAAAAATGCTTTTAGTTCTTTTAGTACGGATGGTAGTACTTTAGCAGATGGTAGACTCTTTGTGTGGAGAAACCTTGAGAAGAATTCCAACCAGACTGCAGTGAGGGTTCTGTAAAGCACAGAGTGGAAACGTCAAAGTTTGGGCCTGTTTTTCTTACAATGGAATCAGTGAGCTTGTGTTCATTGACCTGCTGAAGTCTGAAAAGAAAATGCTCAAATGATAACGATCAGAACACATCAGAGACCTTTTGAAAGAATACTTACTACAAAGAATAATTACTAACACAATGATTGTATTACATTTTGGAAGTATGGCCCAAAATTCCAAACACTTTTTTGGGCCACTGTACATTGGAATATCGCATAGTTTGCTATTTCCTATCAGACTGAGACGCTTCTGCAGCTCTACTGAAGTTCCTGTCGAAGAAACTTTTAAAAGCCTCTTTATCATAACTTGTTTGAACTTCAGCCAGGACAAAACCGTAACTTTTTTCCCCGGTTCCATATACAAAACACTACATGAAACTCAAGTCACTGTTTAGCATTATACAGCTAAGGCACCTGGCTGTGTGATGATGATTCTTCATTTTTAAAAAGTGGTGGCTTGAGATAGTATGTGCTACAGTTTCCTAGTAAGGCTGCCTGTGTCTGTATTTAAGACAGTTTCCTAGTATGTGTGTTTTTCTATCTAGTTCTATTTGTAGAGCTGTTCCTGTTTGTGGATAAGCCGTTCCATTGAGGAAATGCTTACACAAAAAACAGCTGTACAAGCTGTAAAAATACAGCATTTTTCCATCGTCTGTTATGCTGAACTATACTGAATTCTCAAAATGAAATACTTGTGTTGAGAATATTTTGTAATTCAGAAATATGATTTATCTAGATCAAGTAGTAGTCAAGATGTCAGTTTTAACATCTAGAAAGTTTTAACAATAGCTAAAAAATTATACTCCATAAGGACCCTGATTTCACAGCTGTAGTATTGCCTGCACTACACTGTGTACTATCACACTGTAGTCTGCCATTCCCTTAGGCAGGAGAAATACACTGTTTCAAATGGCATCATCCAAAATAAACAGATATACGTGGGACATGGCTCTTGTGCACGACACTTAAAGCAATCAGATTCCACTCACTGAAGGTGCACTGGCTACTAAGCATCACTCTGGAACTTATGAAAACTGAACTCAAGATTGCCATGAAAGAAAGCTAGATTGTAGAAGCTCATTTGGGGGCTAAAAGTAAAAGGAAACTGAGGTGGAGAGTCTACATTCAGTGACCGTGGTGCTTGTGCATTAGTGCAATTTGTATTGAAAACCGGAAAAGCATCTGTACACTCAGGTAACTGAGAATGACAATGCAGGAATAATCTGTCCACTGCGACCCTACTATAATATCCTTTTATATGTAGTTGTGGACAGATTATTCTTGCATTGTCTTCTAGTTTTCAATTCAAATTGCACTAATGCATGAGCACCACGGTTACTGAATGTGCTCTCCACCTCAGGTTCCCATAGGTCTGTATACAGATTTCACATTAGTCACTGTTTCTATTGAAACACTAGCTAGGTGAGCAGTCTTTGTGACCGCAGGTCCTGCCATTCATGCCTCAATAACACTTACTTTGATCTTTTCCTTTTGCCTTCTTGATCCCAAATCGAGGTCGACTGGGAATGCTCAGTGGTTTTTTACATGTCGAAGAGCATGGTAGGATGTTAGGTGCTTCATTGGTTAATGAAATACAATGGTAGAAGCATCTGCACTCTTTATGCTTTTTCACTCATTTACTTAAGTTTTTCTCTTTAATTTGACTCCTGTTTCTATTTTCATGCATCATTTTGAATTTGCTGGATAATGCAAAATGTTAAATTGTCAGTATTCAGCAGTCTTCCAAACTATAAATACTGAAAAATGAGATCTTGATTTTGGACATGCAAAGAAATAAAGCAGGGAAACTCCACCCTGTCATATCACTATGATTATTTTATTCGCAACAAGTAAATAAGTTGTAAATGAAAAATGTATATTCATTCATTTCAGTAGTTTGGTCTGTCCAGACAGCACAATGCGTGTTCAAGACCAATGTCAAGACCACTTCTGCTATGTGCCCATGCTGGTAAATGGATACTTCTTCTGGCAGATGGTTGACTTTACTTGATTGAAATTGATTACTCAACTAGAAGATTAAACAACTAAAATATATTCTTGATGAATCAAACATCAGCTTTGTGATTAGTTCACAATTTGAGTGATAAACAGAGGATTTACAGATTATAAAGCCACACTTAGTAGATTATCCACAAGGGGGAGCTTTTGTGAGCAAAAAGGGAAACGTACACCAGCGGGATCTCACAAATACATGTCTGTAGATGCAAATTTAATGCATGAAGTAAAATTAAACATTTGCTATTACATATTGCGTTTACATGAACTAAAAGGTCTTCTTTAACAAGGACTATGCCGAACAGCAGATTAACAGGCAAACAATAACCTCACAGCAAGAAGGGCTTGGGTTTGATTCCCCGGCTGGGCAACGAAGATCCTTTCTGTGTGGAGTTTGCATGTTCTCCCCATGTCTGCATGGGTTTCTTCTGGGTGCTCCGGTTCCTCCCACAGTCCAAAGATATGCAGTTAGGCCAATAGGAGATGCTAAATTGCCCCGAGGTGTGAATGTATATGTCTGTATATGTCTGCCCTGTGATGGACTGGCGACCTGTCCAGGATCTTTCCAGCCTTCCGCCTAATGAGTGCTGGGATAGGCTTCAGCACCCCCAGTGTGTGTGTGTGTGTGTGTGTGTGTGTGTGTAATTCATGAATTAAAGAGTATGTTACTTGAATATATGTTACACATTTCAAATGTCCCAAATGTCAGTGTTTAAGTAGAGCTGGCCTAAGTAGTATTAAAAAAAGTGAATGCACACAACTGCTTGTCTGGTGCAAACATAACATTGTATCATAGAAACGCTATTGTAGCAGTGGAACTTATAAAGTAAAGATTTCTGCATTAACCCTCTGGGGTCAAATGTCATTTTCTTGATTTTTGCATATCTTCTTAAATTCACCTTTAAAGGCACTTGCATATAACATGATAGCCATATGTCTTATATCAGATTGCTCCATTATCTTTGTTGCTACTCTGCAGCAACTTCAGGAGTGTAAACTTTTTGCATACCATTTCACGTGTTTCCGATGTCAACTAAATGAAAAATGAAGGGTTTCCTACGTGAAGATCCTTTCCTGAGTGTCCATGGGTCAGTTTCATTCAAAATGTAGATGTAGGACATACAAATTCACCTATTACAAACTGAGAGGCAGATAACATGTTTCTCAGCCCCTCTTCATAGCTTCATAACTCCTGTTGTTAGTCATGTATGATCTCACGACTAGATGGAATAGAAAGGGCAGACTGTACAGATTTAGGAAATGTCTGAACCATATTTCTGTGCTGTTTTATTGCAAAAACAGAAAAACAGTAGCAGTAGCAGTAAACTGTTTTTACCTGCAGACACCTTGACAGTTTATAAAGTTTCCTATTGTTTTCTCTCACATTAAAAAAACAGCATATTTACACAGCTATTTACATGCATTTTTGCCACATGTACATATATGTTTGTGTATGTACAGAGAGAGTTTCACCACCTCATTCAGGAACTGGATCTTTAAGAGCTTTCAGAACAGAAAACGAGTGACTACTGTTCTATGCTGAATGCTCAGAGGTCTTTTTAAACAAAGCTTTAAAGCCTAACAATTTACCCTGTCAGTTGGACACTAAACAAATGTGCATCTAAACCTACTGAACTGAACCAGACCTCCTTTCGCAACTTCAATTTCTTCAGCATGTCATCCATATGAGGTGAGCTGGAAAATGTTTGGTCATTTTTTAGTGTTCAGTGACAAATTTGATAGGCTACATTGATTACTGTTCTACATTTATTTCACTTTAAATGATCTGATCAGTAAAATGTTGTGGGCTGTGGAAACTTTCGTGGTTGTTTAGGTGGGCCATGAGTTAGAATAGGTTAGGAATCTTAGGAATCTCTTTGGGACATAGACAATAACCTATACTTATATAAGTAAGTCTGATTCAGAGTGGCAGGTCACAAGGTTATCACACAAAAATTAGTCCAATTCTGTCATGTAAGTATTACAACAGAGATTCTGTTCATTTTAGCTCACCTGTTCCACAAACTGGGTTCACATTTTAGCCAGTGGTCATGTTTACCTATTCCCATTGCCATTTCTCCTGATGTTCCAAATTGAGAGTTTGAGAGGGATTGAAGTCTGGTGATACTGCTGGTCAGTCTAATTGTCCCAATGTTCCATCATGTCTGTCATATACAGACACCCTACAGTTGTCATCTAGGAATGTCAGTGTTGAATTGGGACAAGAGGCACAAAATTAGTGGAATAGTGGGCTAAAATGGAGAGGTAATAGGAGTGGTAAGTAAGCACAGCTTGTGTGTCCTTAGTATTTAGTTGCATGCCAAAAAGTTGTAGTAATTATAGTCTTGACTTGTCTGTGACTAAATGGAGGAACCCACAAAATCCTTAAAGACACCTTAAAGGGTCACATTTCCTGTCAGGTGAGAAATACTGCTTCAAATTTAAATATGTGGCTCTTCAACCAATTATTTATAGGTTGAAACATTACAGTTTTGGCCAGTTAATTACAGTTATACTAGAGTCATACAATATATACTGTTGTGCATATTTCATTTATGATCATACCAGTATATACATTAATGAAGATATAATAATTTATTTATATCATTACAAAGATATGCATTTGTAATGGTTTGGACATGATTGATTAACAAAAGAACACACAGAAAAAAAGCTCTCCTTGTCTGGATGAGACAGAGACTGGAGGTTTGTCTATATATATTTATGTCAAGTGTGTTTGGCTATTATCTAAAATGATTTACTCGCTTAATATAAACTGCACCGCAGTCTATGGCCCACTGGCCAACCCACCTTACTCAATTCATAATCTAGGACAGTGACTTATGTTTATTGTACTAACCTACATGTATCATCGCTGTCGTAACACAAAACTTCATATCTTAAAATGGTGATTTTTCTGGAGGAGGAAAAAACATTTTTTACATTCAATGTAAGCTAATTAAAAAAATCTTCTTGGACCCCTGCTATTAGTCCTTTCATCATGAAACATTCAGATTTAATTTATGTCAAAAAAAAAGCACAAAAATGGAGAAATGCTACCGATATACTAGCCTGTATGTCCTGCCTGTACTGCACCACACTTTGTCTTACTATCTCATTGTACTTTTTCAGTAAATTACCTTGTTTTTTAAAGGTATTGCCTGTAATGTGAGAAAGGGGATGTGTACCTGTTGAATTCTTTACTATGTGCATTATGTATTTTTTTTTAACAGCCAGACTTTTGTCCCACTTATGTACCTGTATATGAGTGGAATGACAATTACGTTGAGCTGAGCAGAGTTGAAATGGCTCAAACCCTGAGAGATAAACTGCATCCCACCTCATCACTGCACTAAATGGTGTCAATACTGTTATAATGTTGGTTGATTTGCTCTGCATAGACAATTTCTTACCAGATTGTCTGGTTTGTTTATTTGAATTAATTAATGTACTGTATACCAAGGTGCATGTGGCTTAAATGTAAGTGATTTTTGGGAATGTTTAAGTAACAAAGAGTTCATCAAAGACCAACGACCTACAGTTAACGTCAGCATTTCTATGAAGCTCTATTGGTATAAAATGCATTGCGACAACACAAAATTGCAGAATTCCAATAGAATCTGGTACCAATGTCCCGAAAATGGCCCAGTACAGCGTAACATGTAAAACTGTCAACACCATTGTATGTGGGTAGGACAAGTTCTCAGTACCTCTGCATTGCTATTTATAGCTTTCCACTGAGTGAACCATTTGCACCACAAACCATACATGGAATGATCAAAGGCTTTTGGGAACTACCAAGAAAGAGAATGAATTTCCAATGAAACATTACAAAATCACCACAAAAAGTCAAATGGAAAATGCAAATATTGTTGAAAGGCTATATTACTGGATTCTGACACACTCAGATTTTTGACGAATATTTAGAACTACCTGAACTACCTGAAACTTCAAAATAATGCACTGATAAAGCTGATAGTCTAAGTGAACTTTCTGTCTAAGACGGTTTCCTATGTAGCGCCTACAACAAGGATGAAGCCTCTAAAGAAAGGTACTAAACAGGTTCAAGGAAACGAAAGGACACAATACGATGTGTGTAAGAAACTCAAAATCCATGGATCTTGCCCATCTGTTTGGGGTTTGGGCCTGACACTATTAAAACATCTGAGAGTAAAAGTATTGGTCTCAACGTCAAATGCAACACTGTAAACAGGGGAAGAATCTCATGCTTGATCTGCCCTCTTTCTCTGAGGTGTTTGCCTCACTGCACACTGTATGCATTTCACTGCAACTTGGAATGCTTATGCAGAAACAGTGATGAGGTGGGATTTCAAGTAAAGTCTTAAGGTCTTTGCTTCAGCACCCTCTGGCTGACTGCACAAGAGTGCACAACTGCTTCTGCATCATCATGTGTTGACTTCCTGTGTTACAGCACCATCTACTGCTTTAAGGTGTTGCAGCTTGGAGACTACTGATATATCAACTCACCACATGAGAACCCCTGCCTTAATCAACAAATAGCCTGATATTCAAGAGCTTTTAGATATTCACAGGCAGTAATTAACACAAAGGCCAAGCACAAAATGGTCCAGTCTTGCTGTAATTTCAGCAGCAATGATGTTAATCTTGATATGTCATTAACTATATCGAGATACAGAACTGTTCTATCACAGTGTAAAATAACAACGTACTGATGTACTGATAAACAACGTACTGACAAAAGGCTGTATAATTAAAACCTGGTACACTCAGATTTTTGAAAAAGTATTAGGTGATACAAACTAAAACATCAAAATGATCCATAATGCCTTAGTGAACATGTAAAATTGTCACTAATTGCGGTGAATTCTACAAACATAATCAGAAATAAGGGTCTCTAAGATGGTCCCCTTTGTAGGGCCTACAACAGGGATCCAACCTCTTGGGAAAGTTACTAAACATGTCCAATGAAACAAAAAGACACAATATCATTAACCACATGTGAAACCTCTGTCTTAATAAACAATTAGCCTGATATTCAAGAGCTTGTAGATATTAACCAGCAGTAAACAACACAGAGGTCAGCCACAACATGGTCTAGGCTTGCTGTGATTTCAATAACGTCCATCTCGATATGTCATAAACTGTATTGAAATACAGAACTGTTCTTTCACAGTGTATTAGACCAATGTTGGATAATTTGCTTAAACTCTCCCCTGTCCACTTTGCATTATATCTGCCAAACCAATGTCCACAATTCACCAGTGTAAAGTATTATATTTTCATAAATCTAAAATGTTTCTAAACCAGTGGGACACTGAAGCCGTACTAAAATACTGAGTTGCACTCTGGGAAACCGACAGCAGAGACAGTGGAAAATTTACCACAACCTAATGGCCTCTTAAAGCCATGTAATAATCTATTGTTTTAAAAGTACAAGGACATAAACACTGCATATTATTTAATATTATTTAACAAGCTGTTTAAAATTAAATTAGTCCTCTCTAGTTCTGTCAGTTTTCTTTCCTCATGTTGATTATCACTTTTGAAGCATTGTCAGCATTATAATGTTCATTCAAAAGCATAAATAAAAAAGCAAATTACATATAAATAACTTTTCTTTCAGTTTCCGGTTTTGTATTTCAGCCAAATATGTCCTGAATTTTGGTATCAATCACAAACTTTCATATCAGTGCATCACTACAAAAGACTGCTCATTCAACATCATCTGACATCAGAAAGCTCCGTTTAAAGGGGAATTCATACAGATTTTGAAACATTTTGCAGAATTGAATACGAAATAAACAAAGTTATTCAGAGTGGTTTCATTCTAGAGAAAATTATTGAGCCAGAATTGTTCACAGCAGTGGTGACAGGAACCAGAAGTGTTAAGTGTGTAATGCCTTTAAAGCTACATCACAGCAAGCCATGACATGAAATGGTTACAAATATTATTATAATTGTCTGATCCCTGAAACAATGTGTTGGCCTAAACGTTTTTTATATACATGGCAGAGAGGTACATGACCGGTGTTATAAAGCAAAACAGTAGAAGCCATTTATTTATTTTTTTTTGGATTTACCACCATTTTACTATTAACAGCACTGCAAACAAAAACTCAGAATACACACATAGGCTCTTTGGTCAGTTTGGACAGTAAATAAAACAGCTATGTTTGCGTTGTGGACACTGCAAACCCTTGGTTCTAATCACTACCACTGTAAAGCAGTCTGAGTTGGTATGTTTCTCTACAATGAACCAGTTTATATCAAACCATTCTGAATGACTTTGTTCGCATCTCAACAACTAAATTATGAAGACAAGTCTGAAAATTTGGTGGAATTCTCCTTTAAAAGGTCAGGATTTTTTTCACACTCACTGTAACATGCCTGCATGAACTTGCAAGCCTGTCTACTAAACAACACATTAGTTGACATTTCAAAATAAGATTAGGCCCAGAAAGGTCTAGAAACTTACTGCAGCACCACAGACACTCACTTTTACCTCAGCCATGTTCATTATGGGCCACGTCCCAAATACGATGATAGAACAAATTATTCCATGGTCACTGCAGCCACATTGGTTTTATTATTACTGTCCTAAGCAAGTAACGTTACATCAAACGGCATTAATAGAGATGTCTTACGAGGTGACACTACCTGAGTTAGCTTTTTGTTCGAATTGTTCCGTTCCACCTTAAATGGTGTAGAAGTTACATTCTGGCGCCCCAGGCTATTCAAACCAACGAGGCTGAAGTTGGCTTCCTATTCTCCAGCTTCTCGTTCGAGAACAGAAGGCCAACTTCAGGCCCGTTGAGCAGCCCTGGACTTCACTCAGCGAACGTGAGAAGCTAAAGCTAAACTAGAGCGTGAACTGAAACCGCACCCCGCTGTAGCGCTTCAGCACATTCGCCACTGGTTTTCAGCAGAGCAGTCTGAGCGCGCGGACTGTGAGACAGGCAGGCAGGCAGGCAGGCGCACACACAAATATACGGCTGTCTCACTTCACTTCAGCATGGGACCATGGATCTGAAGTCCGAGTTGCTGAAGTCCATCTGGTACGCGTTCACCTCGCTGGACGTCGAGCGCAGCGGGAAGGTGTCGAAGTCTCAGCTGAAGGTGAGGCACTAGAGTTTCGTGGCCAGAGCAGGTTCTTTCTCACTGACTGAACTCTCAGCATGCCATCTACAGTGCATGTCTTCGTTTAAAGGGGAGTTATATCTTTATTTGACTTATTTCGTGACAGGTTTAGCTTTAGTCTACATGTTTTAGGCACATGGTGCGTAATTTTAAAACTAGCCGAGCAGGCTGAAGTTGAGAAAGTGTGTCCTGAGGGTGTGTGATTCAGCCTCTGTCATCTCCGCACATAAACACGTCCATATAGCACGCAAGCTATGTGGCCATTCCAGGGCCTCCTCCCTTTAGGAAGCAGACCACAGGAGTTTCCACAGGATTCCTATAGTAATTATTGTAAATTCAGACAATTCCTATAGTTTCTACATGATACTATAGTAAGTATTATAGACAATACTGCTGGAATGCTGTACACTGCTAGAAATAAAGGTACTCTGCTGGTAATTTTTTGGTTCATAAAGGTACAAGCAATGTAAATGTACCCTCATAGGTACAGCAGTGCTTTTAAGGTCCAGTTGTGTATCTTAAATAAGTTTTTCCAAGGTGAAAAGTACCCAATGCTTTAAAACAGAGTAATAAAATAAAAGCCTGGAGACGAGGCAAAGTGTGTGGAGTCAGTACAACTTAAAAAATATAATTTCAATGGATTAAGGCACAATTATGTTCCCTGACTAAAGGAACTGAGATGTACCCTTGAGGGTACACCCCAGTTAAGAGAGGGGTACTGCCCCAGTGATAGTTTCATACCTTTTTGTTCTGAGAATGTACAGAGGCGAACATATCATATATCATTATAAAAGTATTAGACAGTCTTATAACAGTATTACAGAATTCAAATTGATGTTTTTGTAAAGGGGGATATTTCTAGGGGGGATAAAGTTCTACTGTCTACCCTGTTTTAAACTTTGACCAAATGACAGCCTCTCAGCCTGTTTACCTGAAGGCCTCATGTTCAAACACGTCCCACTTGGCCAGCTGTATAACACTATGCAAGAACAGGCAGATGTCCGGACATGCTGTGTATCTCTTTACTGTCTTTCCTATGTGGGAAAAGGAATTCAGTGCATCCTTTTGTACTATATGATATATTTTGTACTAATATATCATAATTTACACTACCGTTCAAAAGTTTGGAGTCCCTCGTGATGTTACCGGTGTTGATGAGTGTAAACGGTATGGAAAAAAAAGACAGCATTTTTTGTATTTTTTTTTAACAACAAGAAGTTATTAAATGATAAGTAATATGATGTGATTATCTCTTTATTGTAATTATTTGTCAAGGACTTCCTCACATTTAACTGATGTTAATTGTATTGTAACTTCATTCTAAATGTTATACATTTCTTCTAAAGCTACATAATATACAGTAATCTCCAACAGCATTGTTTCATTGTATACAACGTTATATGCTACTATCATATTAGAGCCTTATACATGTGTCTGCAGTTCAGTTGGTTTTACAGTGCTGTAAACAGTGATTTCAATCTTTTGAACAGCAGTGTAGCTGGTTATCTTGCACTGTTTTAAAAAGTGAACACCTCCGCTTTTCAATGTTGTAGCTACCTCTGTGTCAAACTACAGACTAACTTATAAAATATCTTATGACAAAACCAATAAACAAGATCTTTATTGCCAGTCTGCCTCTCTAAACGACAGTAAGAGATCACATGAGGAGGTGTATAATTAACAGTTTGTTCTCTTTATGTAGATTTGATCACTTTTGGATGTTTATGTCATGAGAAATCAAACATAGAAAGTTGCATTTCCTGTGATCATGTACTGCATTTGAATTTTCAATATCAAAAATGATGTTTTCAACAACAATTATTTTTGTGTTGTCTGTTTTAACTCTTTCTGGCTACATTCACATTATAAATGCTGCACAAATCCAGTGTTTGACCTTAATGAGACAGGTCTGATCTGACGTTTTCAGAGTTGTATAGACACACAAATCTGATCTTTTGGGGATAGGGACATTGTTTTTCCTCTGCCCAGCCCATACAGGCTGGTATTCGGCAGGGTGGATTGTTATCCCCTCTTTGTGTGATCTGATATGGTGATCGATTTTAGAAAACCTCATAACAGACCTGAACCACCCCTCTTCTTGTGCAAGCTCAGGGTGCAGAGCGACTGAAGTCTTTTAAGCTTTTCGATATTCAGATCAGCTCAGACTTTACACGGCATAATCACATTAATTACATTATCAAGGAGATTTAACCACAAATTTAATGATTTAAGAGTGGCTAAGCCTGCAGGCCTCCCACCAGATGTGCTGTTTTGTGTGTTCCTGACATTTATCCAGACTGTCCCTGTTTGGGCAGAGCTTTGTGAAAGAATTTAAATCTATTTAAAGGTCTTGTAGACTCATTGGGCTAACTCATGCTATTGTACCCACTTTAGAGGAGAGAAGAATAAAAGTTAACAAAATTATTTTGTCAGTATACCTTCCATGCATTTTTACCTGCACAACTGAATCACTATTACTAGGCAATTTATGCCACGTTCATGAACGAGTCGGCTCTTTGAGTCAGCTCTTTTAGGTGAACGTAGGGAGCCGACTTACTTAAAACAGCACAAATGAGTTCATGTGTTGTAGCTGAAAATTCATCATTATTTTCTTGATTTGTCACATGACCCCGTTCTGGATCTCCAGCTCCCTAATTATCCCCACCACCTGTTGGTTCTTGTATTAAGTTTTGATCTTGGTGTCTTCCATGTAATTGTAAGCCTTGTTTCCAAGTGTGCCTTATTAGTTCTTCTGATTTATTTACTTTGTTGGCTTATCTTTGATTTTTGACCTGCTTTGCTTGTTTGTGACTGGTTGATGTATTTGCCCACCTTTAGCCCATCTGCCTATCCTGTGACCCCTGCCTCTCGAAATTCATCTAGTGAAACTATATCGGTGTAGATGATTTTTTTCAGAAAGCAAAGATATATGATGTTTGTTTATTAGTTAAGTAGAAGGTAGGGTGAGGATTTTTTGACAACAAAATAATAGATAATATTTCTAACTTGGCTACTTTTGTGTGGAAAACCACTATTGACAGGGCTGGACAGGGGACTAAATTCAGCCCTGGACTTTTATATAGACCAGCCCACCACAACCGCATTGACACAACACAACCCCCAAAACTGCGAATAGCCAGAATGCCCAGCAGTTATTTGTGCAACTGCTGAGTCATACTCAAAGCCCTTTTCTGCCAAGGACTTTTAAAACTTTATCAGTGAATCTCTTCCTGAATATAATTTTACACATTTGTTTTCATGCTATTGTGGTAAGTATATTCACTTGTATTAATTTCTATATTTGCATTATATTGTCTCATATTTATTTAATGTGCTGCTTGTTTCATTTGGCCTGGTGTTTCCCTTGGCTAAAAAAAAAATTATTTCATGCACTTATGTGTCATGAAACAATGTTTTAATAAACTTGAAGCTTGAACTTATTTTTTCAAATTAGATCTGAGCCACTTTCACACGTGGTCGTAGATCAAATACGTATCCAATTCGTGATCGGGATATCGTCATCGGCCAGTGTTCACAAAGGCTAACTTGAAGTTTCTGGCATTAAACACTGCAGAAGCATTAAAACATCTCATCTATATTCACCTTCTCCTCTAGTCCTGGACAGCTGGAGCTGTTTAGAGCTAATCATCTTGGTACTGAAGTCTTGTGCTGCTAGCTAGTTTGTTCGTTTGTTGTTGATGTTCTTGACTAATGTGGATCATTCGTGGAATGTTAGTAAGATGTGCTCATCCAGGTCGTTTCAGGGCGCAGGTTTGTTCACGCTAAAGATATGGATCAAGTACACTTTTAAATGTGAACCGTCAAGAAAGAACACGTGGTTGATGACACATTGTGTGGTCTTTAACGCATCTGTTTTGAGAGTGTTACCTCTGCAATTTGTAAAGATTAGTCAATGTGATGATGTGGCGCTTTGATGCTGATGCTTCCTTTCTTTTTCTTTGTATACATGTGTGTTTCAGGTGCTCTCCCACAATCTGTACACAGCTCTGAACATCCCCCATGATCCTGTGGCCTTGGAACAACACTTCCAGGACAATGACAATGGGCCGGTGTCCAGCAACGGCTATATGCCTTACCTCAACCAGTACATTCTGGCAAAGGTTCTGTTATCCATACACTATTTTAAACAATATGAAACAAGTTGAGTTGTCGATAGATTTATTAAAATAATCATAATGTGATGACAGCCTTGTATAACTTCATAGGTTTCAAATAGTTTATAGAAAATATTGTAGATGTGACCAGAACATTGGACAGGGCTGTAGGTGACCGCTGTGTGTTATGTAGTTGTAGATGAAAGCTGTCAAGTTATGATAAAAATTAACGTCAAGAATAGTAATACCCTAGTAATTATATTATTTGCTAAGATCAGGAAGTTAATAACTTCTTGATCTTAGCAAATAATATGGAATTGTTAAATAAAACTTTTAAAAAGCTTTGTGGTGTCTGTATATTTTATATAGTTTATATAATTTCAATCAGTACTGTATAAGCTGTTATTGAATAAAATAGTAATGAGGCTTTAAAAAGAGGCTTTAAAAGTATGTGTGGCTTTAATTTGCTTGTAAAAATATGTTCTACAGGAAAGGTGCAAATTATTTTACTAATTACTTTTGGAGTATTGATGCATAAAATTTGTTTTTAGGGATTATCCTTTGATTTAAGGTGAGAACTACCAAAACAGAATATCAGAATTGTATAAATCATTAATTTGGCTGCCTCAAGACTCATGCTCCTTACTATGATGCACATATCTAAACATACATCTTGTATGCTTTTGTGCTTGCAGTCTTGTAGTATTCTTTGTTGGAAAGCCTGTTTGGTTGCCAAGACTGGCCATTAATTCCAGTATTATGTTGAAAGGTTCTGTTCCAAAACACATTATAGACCACTTTGAAGAATTTCTTTTGTTCTGATATATATTGTTTGGAGTGAGCTTTACACATACAAGAAATATCAATGCTAACATTACGATTAATGCCACCTTTATTAAAGAAATAATAATGTATTTTGCATTATACATCAGCCGTTATTCTTTCAAAAACTCATATCCAAAATGTTTACAAACAGATTCACAGCTTATTACTTGCTTATGTCCAATTGAAGAAATGCACGTAGAACATCTATTCATTGTGGGTACTGTTTGTGAAAGAAAATGTTTCCTGTTCATGAATTTAACCTCTTCTATGTTTGTCCTTACACCCAGGCCACCGAGGGTACATTCAACAAGGAGACGTTTGATGACTTGTGCTGGATGATGACTGCTAAGAAGAACTTGAAGCCCACTGTCTCACAGGGGTTGTGTTCACAAAGAGACTGCTTCAAACTCTTCTGCCTGTTTAATCTGCTGTCTGAGGACCGTTACCCACTTGTCATCATCCAGCCTGAGGTTTGTGTGTGGGAGTGTGTGAGAATGAGAAAGAAACCGCCAGTGATAGTGAGTGATAAACCACTGCCGGAAAAATAAAGATGGTTGTATTTACTGAGCATCTTAAGGTACTAGTTTTCAGTTCAGCTCGTTCCAGTACATGCATCTCTGTTCATGTGGGTAGCAGACTTATCCAATGCCGAATCAGCACTTTTCATGAACTCAGTGGTCAAATGGATTCTTTACTGACGAGAGAAACAATCAAGTTAGATTGATTTTCTTTTCACTTTTCTCTCGGGTGTGTAACAGCTATAAATGTCTGTTCAAATGAAAGGAAACCTAAAATGAGATGCAGATAAGATCTAGTGCATATGTAAGGCAAACCAAGGTCTGATGTGTAACAAATTCAACAGCAGCTCTAGGAAGGAAGTTGACGGGGAGTAAAATAAGAAGTACTGTCACACGGCTTCCTGATGATTACCCTTGCACTTCTGATTTCAATCTACCAAAACTTCAGAGCATGTGTTGCAAATTGCTGGTCTTCCTGCTTATTGACAAAATCTGCATGTAAAAGGGTTCTATTTGTCTTTAACAGAAATAGTTCTAAGGCATTTTCAGATGTCTTCCTAGAAAGCATCTTTGCATCTTATCGTACATTTCCAACCTTCATACATTGATGCTTCATATTTGAATCACCTCTGTGGCCTCAGCTGGAGTACCTGTTGAAGAAGATCTCCACTGCAATGGGCCAGGAGTGGGATAGTAAGCTGCTTGAGGTCCTGCTGGCCCAGGAGCCCTCTCTGCAGGACGGCCTATCTGTATGGGTGTTCCTGGAGCAGCTGAGCGCAGGACACCTCATGCAAGTGGATAGTAAGGAGGCCTTCAGCCTGGCCCTGGATGAAGTCTTCATGGAGATGTACCACAACGTACTGAAAAAGGTGACCGAGACGTATGTTTAGATATACAGTACAGTCAAAACAGTCATGCCCGCAGATGTGCAGAAGCATAAGCCTGTTGCTCAAGGTTTTTTGATGTGGTCATGTTGTTATAGATATTAGATAATGTCTGTCATTTTTGCCTAAGAGAGTTGCTTTCTCTAACTGAGTCACTGACTGACTGACTGATCAAAAATATTCCTGACACCCACTGTTGAAACATGCATGTGCAAGTGACCAAGACAAGCAGTGAACCCTGTCTATGTTACTAAAACACTAACAGATAATAGAAGAAAGCACAACTGCATTTTTGTAACGATTATGGAGCGTAAGATAACGATAATCTAGTAACACAGGAAATAACACAGTGATGTGCAATTTTTCGTTCATCTAGCTGTATAAACGTGCTTATTTACCTGTTACTGTTCCAGGTGAGGATAAAGTTGCTAGGTACCAGCACTAGACCACCAATGACCACCAGAATGTAAACTGGAGTAGCATTTTGATGTGTTTTATCGTTATTTTAGAATTATCACTTTGTAATGGGTTCGCCAAGTTAACGTTAGCTAGCTCAGATATGGAGAAATGCCTTTGCTGTCATAATAAAGGTCCCTTATAATGGTATAGTTTAAATAAGGTAACTTGATTTACTCAAACAATTACTGAACATGCTACATGTTATTAGCAGTGGTAGTGGTGGTAATAGTAGTGCTACTTGTGATGTTAGTAGTAATAGTAGTATTATAGAAAAATAGTGTATTGAGAAAAAGCAGCTGGTAAAAAAATCTTAAATGGCGGGTAAACTTTGGTCTTCCACTAGATACTGTGGGCAGATGGACTAAAACATTAATTTGCCACCCAACACATAGTTCTTTTTTTTATCCTGTTCTTTAGACACGTGTGTGACAGTTTTGCACTAAATCTGCTAGATCAGTGACACATTAGACATTAGTGAGAAAACTTTGTGTTAAATTAAATTGCAGTGTGAATTTTATCTTCACACTGTCTTGAGAAACTGTCATCGTTATTGTATGAGTATGAACTAGTCTTTCTTACTTTTTTGGTCTCTTTACCTCTCTTTCTTTTTCTCACTCTTTCTCTCTCTTTTAGGGTTACATGCAGAAAAAGGGGCATGTACGTAGGAACTGGCAGGAACGCTGGTTCGTTTTGAAGCCTGGCATCATTGTCTACTATGTCAGTGAGGATCAGAAAGAGAAGAAAGGCGAGGTGCAGCTAGATGGGAGCTGTGTGGTGGAGGTGGGTTGTGCAGGAGTCCGGCGAAGCCATTCCAGGGCGAATCACTGCTGCTTTTTTAGGAGATACTAAGAAAATTTTTCCATCTTATCATTTGTTTTAACAAGAACACACAGTGTAACTGATTCAAAGCACTGCTTTTATGAAACACCAAATCTAGCTGAGAGCTCCTACCACCCCCATGTGGACAGAGAGAAAAGAGAGAGAGAAAAGCCAGGTCCATGAGATTGTTCAGATCTACGGTTGGGCTGTTATGGGATAGAAGTATTGGGAATACTATTCAGAATGCAGAAATTAAGTATCTTAATTCAGTCCACATACATTTTAAAATTCATAATATAGTTTACATTTTTAGGAAAATTATTTTAGAATACTTACACTCTAAATAAAAAAATATACAGTCTTTTTAGAAGCGTCATCAATGCTTGTTTGTTAGCTGGAAAATCAGTGTGTGGTGTGTAGCAAACATGCTTGTTAGATAGACTCTAAGAGGAACTCAATGAATGGCTTCTTTCCAAACACTGACGTTCCTGCTAAAGCCTGGGTGGAGTGATAATTCAATGCGTTGAGCCAGTTATTTACCTCAACGATAAGCTCTTTTGAGGGATGAGTGAACTGATAGTCTCGTCAGTAGTGGACATGTTCACTAGTGATAAGCTTGGCATCTGTGTTTTCCTGGACTCGTGCAAGCGATTTGAGGTTTATGTTACACAAACTGGAATAAACTGAAAATCACAGCTACCCACTTTATGGTCAAACTTTTGGGGCAGATTTTGTATTTTGGTTATGCCAAATTGTATGGCTAATGAGACAGGCGGTGGCCCAGCTTAGGAGACTGTGAGAGCAGCAGTGGACTGTAGTGGACAGCTGATGAGAGTAAAAAAAAATGTTGAAAATTTTGGAACTTTGTTCAGATGATGAAACATTAATGGAAGAATTACATGATAAAAAAACTGCCTATCATTAACAGTAAGAAACAGTGTCAATTAAGTAAGATAATAGTGGCATAGCTTTTCTGCATCCCTAATGAGAATTTAGTCTGAATGTATTCTAAATGTATTTTGAATACCTTTTTATGCATTGTAATGGAATATACAGTGAGGACCAAAAGTCTGAAACCACTAGTGAAAATGCTTCTATTTGCTTTTCTATTTGCTAATGCTTTTCTTATTTAATTAGGTTTTTAATTACAAATGATATTATCAGCATAGCGATTTGAGTGAAAAGTAGAATCTTTAAAGTATTTACATGAATTTAAGATTTCCTTAGTATTTGGTATGTTGCCCTTTTGCTTTAATGACAGCGTGCACTCAAGCTGGCATCAACTCCACACGTTTGTGCAAAAGCCTCTGATGAGTAGATCAGATTCACCTGAGAGTTATCCAAACAGCGAGCTTCAGTGCCTTAACATGGTCAATTTGCTTGCATTTGAATCGTGACCGAGAATTAGAGCAGAATTTTTTTTTTTTTCCTTTATTTTTCTTTTCATAGCTTTAGGTTTCTGTTGTTTAGCTCCAGGTTTAAATGAAAAAAAAAAAAGATTTTCAGTGTGGACTTTTGGACCCCACTTTTGATGCAAAGTGTTTCAAGCAATTCTTTTAGTAAAACTGCCTAAAAGCCATGCATTAATATAAGTTATGCCACTTCCAGACCATCCCTGATAAGGAAGGGAGGCGCTGTTTGTTCTGTGTGAGGACTCCTGGCAGGACTTACGAGATGAGTGCTTCAGACCAGAAACTGAGACACGAGTGGATTCAAGGTGAGAACCTACCAAATCCTTTTTAGAAAATATTCGATTCAGTTGAACATTCAGAGTGGCGCATTATATTTCCAGCATTTCTAAATGGTTCAAGTAGGTTTTTTTCGTGTTTGGCTAATGTGTCTTGTGCTCTTGTGACTGCTGCTCCGGTGCTCCTCAGCTGTTCAGACAGGAATCCGGCTGAAGGCAGAAGGGAAAAGCTCACTACACTATGAGCTGAAGCTGCGCAGGCGAGAGACGCGAGAGCACAGCCAGAGCATCAGCCAGAGCGGCCCGAGCAGACAGAACAGCCAGGGCAGCAGCCAGACTGTCCAGAGCAGACCGAGTAGCCAGAGTGAGCCCCCTGCTGAGGTGCAGCAGCCTAGCTCTGGGACACACCATGGGGAGCAAGAGAGCAAGGAGCCAGATGTAGAGATCATAGACATCATCCAAGTAAGAGGTCGTCTGATGAGTTTGTGTTTAGTTATTTGATGCAATTACAATTATTTTGGAAAACAACTCAATGCAATGAGCTGTTGAGTAGATGGGGTAATGACAGTTTGCCACATGATGTCTGTAATGTTTGTTGGCACAGAATAAGAAGTCTTTGTATTAACGAAAGATTGGAGTGGCTACTCAATTTAAGTACTGCCTTTACTCCAGAAACGAGTAGAAAACATGTAAAACATATAATATAGCCGTTTTTCCGTTAACCCTAACCATCTGCCTTCATGTCTTAAGTAAATGCACTCATTGGCATTTTTGTTAGCTTGGGAATTCAAAGCCAACAGTCAAAATGACCACAGTATTCAAATGAATTTTGTAATTTTTGTACGTTTTAATGTTCAGAGTTATACACTTGAGGCAGGACAGCACATATTGGCTTAATTTTAGCCATAGAAAACCCAAGTAAATGTTTTTTCACGTGCTTCCATCTTTAACAAACACCTTTTCCACAGAATGTGATATCATTTTTACCGACAGGCTGATTTGCACAGGATTAATATAACTTGAGGTTATGTCTCTGCCAGAATATCTACTGGCAGAAGTAGCGGTAAAATGACCTTACCCCACCTCCTCATAAAATGAATCCTGTCCACATAGTGCCTAAGCTTTTTTTAGCTATTTTAAGCTGTTTTTTTTTTTGCTATTTTAAGCTATTTTTTAGCTATTTTAAGCTGTTTTTAATGTTTACATTTAAAAACGATCAGCGGATTGTTATAATTAATTATAATCACTTCCAACATTCCAAAATCAATGTGGTTAACTACCTTTAGGTGCATTTTCACATACCTACTGTTTGTATTTGTGTCTTAGCAACACCTGGAAAAGGAGGCACAGCGCAAAGAGGAGGAGGCGCAGGAAAAAGAGAAGCAGAAAAAGAAACAGCAAGAGCTGGAGAGACAGCTGGAGGAGGCTAACACAGTAAGCTAAGACACTTACTTGTTCTTTCTTGACTTTTTTTATTACAATCAGAATATTCTTTCTTGGGTTGAACTTCATATTTAATATGTTGCCTTTCTCTATTATCGGTGAAAACTGCTACCCTATAAAGGAGTTTCTAGATAACCCGACATCTACATCAGTTCTTCCATTAATTTGCACTTATTAGAATAAGTTTCTAAAGCCGGTGTTTGATGTTGTGCTGGCTGTTGCCCAGGCCAGGGAGAGCATGGTGGCTGAACTAGCTAAAATGGAAAAGGAGGTACAGCAGCAGAAGAAGAGGATCCAGGAGCTGGAGCTCACTCAGCAGAAACTGGAGGAGGCCCTCAACATGCAGATTCAGGCCCGATTGGAAGAGGAGAAAGTTCGACATGAGCTTGAGAGGTCAGCTACAGAGGCACACGCTGTCTTTCTCTTACACCTTACACCTACAACTGCTGTCGCTATCCCTGCGGTTAAACAAGACACAGGAAGTTATGGTTGATGAAGATTATGAACAGCTGATGCTGTGTGAAAATGAGAAACTAGCCACGAGAAATGATCCAAAAACGGCTGCCTCAAAATAACGTTAAAAATAAAATGTGAAAATTATTGAGCTGTTCCTGAACAAAAATCGAGTCTGGCCTGTTTAGTTGAGGTCAGGGTTCTCTCTTCTTAAGTAACGCAAATCTTTGTCCATCAGTTTCATATTAATGTGGTTAGATGCTTCGACAGATTGTTCACTGAGTTTATAGCGCTTCCTGCACTGCATCACTCACATTCTCAGTCAAAGTCGTGCTGGTATCACATGAGCACAAATTCAGTACAAGGACAGGCATGGATAGTAAAATCTATATAGAGGAAATGTATGTTTTAATTGCACATTAATTGCATATTAATGCATTGCACATAATTAATATTGTTGTCTGAGATAACAAACACATTACTGTCATTTCTTAAAGAAAAAAATTCTTTGTGTTTATTTTATTAAAAATGCCTCCAAACATTTGGCCTGTAGTGTACAAATGTCTGGACGTAAGCAGTTTTATATGTTATCTGTGTGTATGTTTGAGTTTGTAATTAGCCCATTGTGAGGACCAAAGTGCCTTCAGAATAAAAGGAAAACATGAGAATACTGTAGAAATGAAGATATTCCACTTGTCCTTGCAAGAAAACTGGTGATTTCACTTCAAATGTGGCTTTTTTCTTCCCTTGGTTACTAAGATTAAAGATAGTGTTAGTTGTAGCTTTAATCAACTACAGTAATACAGAAGAATGGGGGTACTCACAAATGTTTATATATTTGTGTGTCACAGCCAGCTGGAGGAGGAGCAGAAAAAGCTGACTGAGTTGCTGCTCCTTCAGAAACAACTGGAGACTCCTGCTCCTGCAGAGAAGAACCAGAAGGAGCTGCTGGAACCATTAAAGGACGAGGAGCACAACCCCCTACCTATCTCCTTATTTTCATCTTCCTCCTCTTCCTCTATGCCTGTTCAATCCTGCAAACCCCAGCCAACTTCCCACCCAGCCCCTCCACCAATAGAAACAGCAGAGACCCACCGGTACAACCTGGAGGTATGAAAAAATTAATGAGAGAAAGAAAGTGAATAGATGGGAGGAGGTAAAATAAGAAAACATTTTGGGCAAATACAATTGCTCTTCCAGCTTTTTTATTTTCTCTCACTTGCTTTCTGTGCAGAAAATATCAGACAGCCATTCTAATGCTCAGTATATGAGACAGTGGAATGTCCAACTGAACCGCCTTATGAAGCCCATCACACCAGCAGGTAACATGCGCACATGTGCACACACACACACACACAAACATCAGGACAGTGTTTAAATTTTGCTTTCTTACACACTAATCTACTCTTCAGATGGGATTAGTTTCACACAAGGAAGTGGGGTAACATAATTTTACCATAGGACGTTTGTAATGCTTATAACCGAGCTTTATCTTGCTTCTTTATCTACCTGGCTGTCATAAGTAAATGCTGTAATTCATTAGACTTGCCATTATTTTGGGAATCTTACACCAGTAGTCAGCACAGCTGCATAAATCCAAATCTTCTGGTTTACTTGAGGAAGGACAATCCATATTGGATAGATTTGGGCTGGAGGGAATACAGCTAAAATGCGTATTTGAGTCCCGCCATACACCAAACTGATTTCCACAAGAATTGATAGAACATGTACGAAACATTGACGTCAGTTTGCAAGGGATTGATATTACTTGGGGTTATTTTATTTTTTATTCATTGTATGTTTCCTTTAACAGTAGGTAAACTATATTTTTACTGATGCGTGATCACACAGTTTGTAAGAATTACCTCTCATGGCAGATTTGAATGGAAGTAAAATCACTAAAACTGCAGTAATAATTATGTTGTGTCAAGAAATAATGTTTGAAACAAGCAAAATTATGTGCAAGTACAATAAGATAATTTCACTTGGTACAGTGACTTAAAATAAGTAACTGTAATATGTCCGGGAGTAATTCAATTTTTACAACAACCATAGTGGCAAATTTTAGAATATCGTTCTTTTTTGTTAAATGTCATATAAATAATATATCATGTTTTGTTTATGTTAAATGATAGATCATTAAAATTTATTTTCTGTCTTCCTTCGTTCATGTATAGATAAGATTGAGCGTATGCCAGTGAAGACCAGCTGCCCCAAACACGGCCAGGCACTCACCAGCACAGAGTTCATAAACAAATACCAAACAACCATCGCTCAGGAAACAGAGTTCTCCGACAGCCAGTCACCAAACAAAAACGAGGAGGCAGGCCCCCAGGAGCCAACCACTGCCTCTGAGGTGGAGGAACCCCAGATGAGGACGAGTTGAAGAGAACAAAGTTTTAACATAGTGATTCAAAGATGCCCAAGTTACACAGTGCTGTGACAAAATATTTGCCCTTTTCCAATTTCTTCTGTTTTTGCAGATTATCACACTTGCATGTTTCAGATTACTTTTTCAGATCAGACTTGCCTCAGTTAAGATCAGTGTACACAATTCCACAATAAGAAAGACACTGGGAAAAAATGGCATCTGAAATTGAGCGAGGGGCAAATACTTTTTCATAGCACTGTATGAAATCATAGTGATTTTTTCTGTTCTTTGTTGCAAACTTGCCATGTCCTACAAAAGAATGGAATACAGTTAATAATGAAATACATAAATTACCACCTTATTGCACTTAACGAAGCATTTAGTATGGCCTGATCCTTTTCTTTGCTATTGTTCAAAAATGTCATACACACTGCATATTTCTTGTTTCAGTATTTACCAGCTACACCAGCTATTGTTTCCCTTTATAGCTCTACAGGACAAAATGATACAGCCAACTCCATCAGACTGTGAATTCTATATAGAGCCAATCTTCAAAGGGCTGAGATCTTTTCTCTTTGAATTAAATTGGCTTGCTCCGTTCCTCTGGTATTGGTTAGTAGTACTTGTTGTTTGTGATTCTCTGAATGTCCAGTAGATGGGGTGCTTGTTCTGGGATTTGTTGTGATGTGACCTGAAAATACCTCTTAGTGTAAATGTTCTAACTAATCCTTTGCACATTCAAAGCTTTTGTGCTTCTTTGCATTCTTTTTTTCTCATCTGGCTTTACACTTGAGTTAAAGGGGAAATCCACCAAATGTTCAAAATTCCTGCATGATTAAATGGTTAATATGTACGCAAAGTCATTCAGAGTGGTTTGATATGAAATGCTTCCTTTTAGAGAAACTAGAGAAAGTCAGAATTGTTCACGGTGGTGTTGATAGGAACCAGACATCCCGGCTGGTTTGTATTGTTTGTATTGTAAACATCACAACTCCTGGTTCATATCACCACCACTGTAAAGAAATCTGTAGGTTTCTCTACAGTGAACCATTTTACATCAAACCACTCTGAATGACTTTATTTTCATCTCAGTGGTTAAATTGTAAGCAGTGAATTTACCCTTTAAGTCAATAACACATTACAGAACGAGTTATTTTTCTCCAGTTACTTGTTTCCTTAAAAATATCGGCTAGTGAAACAACATAAGCTGCCCAGGTACTGTAGACTGTAAGAATAATTATTAAACAGTGAAAGCTTTGTCAACGTCTTCTTTGTGCTGCTGATAATGTTTTGCCCAACAAGTGCCAAATCAAACCCTTCCAGAAACGGGGATGCCCCTCTTTAGTGCTAAAAAGTGAAAATAATGGTGCTGTCTATATTTGGCTCTGTGGAGGCTGGCGAGTAAGTGGGGCTCAGTTTGTGGCTGGGAGACATCACTGTGGAGAAGATGAATGATGTCTTTCTCTGTTGGTTTTGGGTAGTAATCAATAGGCTGCCTGTAAATGATCTTTGAGAAATAGCCATGGCTGTGATTTTTCCAAAACGGGATCTTTTCCGTTCTGGGTTGGAATATTTCTATCTATATGCGTACAGACTGAGTGGCATTGTAGAAAATCTACAGACATTCAGTGGCGCTTGGAATCTCCCCAACATTTGCCTAGTCTTGTTATATATGTTATTTTTAACCACTGATAGCTCGCTTTTTTCTCATGTGCCTGGAAACTGTAAGGACACTGTGGAAGATGTATTACCCTAACTCAGCATTAGCACCAGCCTTCACCACACAACCACTCTGTGGCTTTGTAGCTCAAACTTACAATCTTGGAAACACCATGTGCCAGTTGCAATCCAGTTTAGTGCTTTGAGCTAAAGAGACAAGCTTTGTTTTCACCTCACTGTGTCCAGGAGGACCAAAGTATCTGTCTTGTGGTGGGTATATTCAGTATGGGAACAGTGGTATTCTGTGCTTTAATGCTGTGCTGTTCTGTAATTAGTGTCAGCATGCTGTGCAGTGAGTGTAATATTGCTGTGTCATAAACCATGAGTCAGCAGTTAGCAGATTTTAAAGGGTGAATGTCATGGAAAAAAGTGTTTTCCTTTCTTTTTTTTAAATAAAAAAGCTTGATGTGCAGTACACTCCCCAGTCCATATATGATTTTTTTGTGATGTCATGAAAATCAATGCATTTACATATATCCGCCTAATAAGCCTTCAGCAGTTTATCTCCGCCCCCTAACAGTGAAGTTATAAAAAGTGTTTCAGCCTAGATTGAGACACAATACAGGGCACGCAATCAGAACAGAGCTCATTTACATATTGATTCTATCAGAACAAACCAGGAGACGGAAAAAAACAACTCATTTCACTTTGGACCGTTTCATTCATCATGACATTTTGAGATTGTAAACAGCAGCTTGCATTTTCAAATTGTTAAAAATAAATCTGATAAAAATGGAAATACAAAGTTTGTTCCAACAGTGTGCATAAATCGGCCTTAAAAGTACAGAAATAAAAACAGCATATTTAATTTTAAGGAATAAAGAGAAGTTGCACAGTGGTCATGTTAAAGTGAATTATGACTGGCACATAAGTCCACACAAATCTTGTTGGAAGTGGGCCTTGTACCTTCCCAGCGTTATAATAAAATTTTATTGTAGTCCCAGGGATTCCGGTTGGTAAGTTCAGCAATACATTTGGCCTGTGATACTATGTCAACAGCACTGAATAGAACTCCCTGGTTGCGAACACGTCACCTTATCTAGGAGCTTCCCTCTGCCTAATACCATTTGTAAAGCAAATGGAGAGTTTGTTGAGCAGACATTTCTAGTGGCAGTCTGATTGCAATTTGGCGACGTGTGAGCTCAAATGTCACAAATGTTCCTCTAAGAAAAGGAGCACTGACAGAGAGTATAAACACTGGGATATTTGTTCCTTAGCAATCGCTCCTTTACTACAATAGGGCTTCTTAGAAAAATCCTCTGGCACCCAGTCACACTCCACTTTCCCCCCAGTGAATCGGGGTCAGATGCAAGAGTGATTAGGGAGAGTTTAGGTTGGAGAATGCTGGGAACAAGGAAGACAAAAGCCAGATGTGATTTTTCTAGAAAAGAGGCTGAGATCCCTCATGTCAAAAGAGAGTGTTTGGCTCTTAAGAGAGTAACACCTATCAGCTGCTCTGCGTATCTCTAGGGCTAAATAACAATGTTAGAACTAGAGGGCCCTTCCAGCTTTTGCTTCACTGTTACAGCTGATGTGTAACTGCAGTGATGTGACTGCGAACTTTTAACTTTTAGTTCTAATGGCATGAGGTATTCTTGCTGGTTTTATATACTATTCACTTCTAGTGTAGGCAAAATTTTATCATATTATGATAAACAATGGAGTATAAACCTCTGACCTCAATGATTTGATTCTTTAGGAAACAAATCAATGCACTACGAAATTTGTGTCAGTTATACTGGTATAATTCACAAATGTGACCAGAATAACTACTGACACACAGTATTTGGTTATAGACAACAAAAAGCATCATGCATGCCCTCAGGGCTTTCTGGGAACTAAAAAATGCATGTCTGTAATTTTTAGTTAATTTTTTTTTTTCAGTTGAATTCTGCTTGTACTTAAACTCAGCAAGTATTACAATCCTACTCTTGTTTCATTGTTAAGTTTTGTTTAGAAACAAAAGAGTTACATTTTTGAAACACCAAAAAAGGAAAACTTTTAGGATTAGGATTTTATCTCCATGGGATTTATGTAGATACAGCTGAGCAAATTCCCCCCATTTGTTAGTACTTCAGGAGCTGGACTGAAGGCCTTACACAGTAGATGAACTAGCGACATTTACGAAACACAATTAGAAAGTGACAGAGGAATTTTAGGAAGTAGAAGGATGTATTTCACTAAAAAAGCAAAGAATGTTGCTGTATGTTTCCTTTTTTCTACAGCAAACATGTTTTGGGCAGTACAACGCTAGCATTACTGCTATCGAGTGCTGATTGGTTGGCAAGTGAAGTAGCTCATTGGCTGTCCGTGCTCACTGATGTCATGAATGTATATGAGAAGCTGTTTTAAACTCCTATAACTCAAGTTCAAAAGCGTTCAAAGATACAACAGCAGTGTTAAGATGTTTTATGCTGTTCTGTGTTCAGGATATAAAGGCATTGTTTTATCTTAAAAATGTTTAAGCATTTATAAACTATGATTTTACTCATGCTCCGTATTAACCTATTCATTTTGGACTGGCTCGGGAGCGTCCTCTAGTGTCTGAGAGACCCGGAAGACATTACAGGGTGGTAATTCACCTCTCTGCAAGTTCTCTGATGGGACCAATTTTGTGAGGAAAAACACTCTGGCCTTCTAGAAGTCATAGATGCGGCACTGACTGTGAAAATGAGCAGTAGTCTAAGTAGGTTCCAGTCAGTTGTTAGAAATGGAAAACAGCAGCTGTTTGCCAGGGCTCGTTAATGAAGACTCACTATAAAACTGCTTCATACAAGGTAAAGTATATGTTAATATGTCTGTTACAACCTTCAAATAAATCATGGACTGTCTTTTACAAGCTCCAAATGTCTGTGTTTAATCTAAAACGGCCAGAAAATGCTCTAACATGCTTCAAGAATCCCATAGGGGCAATAACAGAAATTAGCATTAATATAGAGGTGGGTTTTTTCCTAGTTTTTTTGACCATATTTTCACATATGTAGCCTAGAACTGAAGGCCTAGCTTTAATAATCACAGTTAACAATACTTTCTTTTTGGCCAAAAATGAGCGCATACTTCATGTTCTTACTGGAGTTAATTATAAATGATTCTAATGTTCCATTCAAATTGATGCATTTGAATTACCACCTGAAGATCAGTGCATCATGATTCATTTTTACACCTATAACACACCTCTTTACAACATGATGGCAAACTTAAGCTCATTAAGAATTAAGAATAAGCAATGCAGTTTCACCACCGTATATCTTCCCTCAGTAAAATTATTTTATAGTCTTTATTTTGCCGATTTAGTATTTATGTGCTGAATTTTCTGCTGTGCTCAGTAATTGTTGATTAATTCTTTCCTTGTGCTCAAAGACACCAGATACAGTTATGGTAAGCAGCACATTTTCAGCTTGTCCATAAGCCATTAAGTAGACGCTTTCACTTCGCCTCCTTCTCATATGATCAATGAGTCTATCTTAGGGTTTGGTCGCTGCAGCACACCATCTGTGTATTAGCCGTGGGCCCACCCTAGCCAGAGGATAGCTGTCTGATATGCAACCACCTGTAATTATATTCTTCAACCTCAACCAACTTCCTCTGGTGCATTTCCTAGACCAGAGAAAACATAAGATGGACCACAGACCGGGGAGCCAAAGACCAAAAATACTCCAGCACTCATGAAAATTCAAAAGGGAACGCTGCCCTTTGTTGTTGCAGCTGGAACACTTGTCCCCGCAACTTGTTTGTGAAAAATGGAGCCATTGATCTTAAAGCCTTGGGAACACTTGATTCAGATGAATGAATGTCAGATGGCCTGGTTTATAGTGGTGGTGGTGGTGGTGATGTCATTCTTAAAGTAGTAGGCCAAGGATGTTACATCATGGAGTAATACTGATGTAACAACTCAATTTAAAGTGTAACTTTACTAATTTAATGTCTTAGAAAACACAAAAGATGGTTTGGTGACTGCCTTGTCTTACACTATCGAGAATACAAGAATTCAGGGGTGGAAAATATTTGAGTAGTTGTAATTCGTTACTATTCTTAAGCATTATTTTGGAAAATGTGTACTTTACTTAAGTGGCCTATTATTGAAATTAGACATGTACTTTCACCTGTCAAAAAATACACTTTTACTGCCTAAAGTTTCACTTAGACCTTCACAATACTTCAAAAATTAAAAATACCAAAGGATAGGAAGGCTTTTCGCTTTTTTCTCTCATCTTTGTTTAATTCCTGTGCCTTTGAATTTATTGTTTTAATTAAAATATCAAACTCATCTTGTACAATCGCCGCACAGCGCTGAACAAAGAAACCATTTATTTTATTTAAAATATATTTGATTTTTTACTTTTGTATTCTTGAGTACTGTTTAATTTTCACTCAGTGTATTTTTGGCTCCATGTTTGAGTAAAAAAAAAACTCATACTTTCACTTAGGTACAGTTTCTATGTACTTTTCCCACCCCTGCTGTAAGTGTAAGTGTACTGCACTGACAAACTGAATAGCCCATAATAAGGTTACATTAAACTAGGGTTTTCAACTAGAGTTTCATGTACGTAAATCGGGACACAAACCACTTGAATACAAAAACAGTCATATACAACACAAATTACTATACCGGCGTATTTCGACTTTTATTTTGAAATATGATTTTACTGTCGTTGACTGCTCCAGAGATTGCTGTTGCGCCTTCACGGGTCCTGACGCTGTCAATGCGGACAGCATGCTCAGCATGAGCTCCCTGAAACTCGGCGAAATGCTCGCGGATAAATTCACTCTGGAGCATCTCGGTAGCCTGCAGACGGTAACGAAGGCTTTACGAGATGAGCAGTTCAGGTGCGAAACAGTTTTCCGTGTCCAGAGTGAAAACGCGGCCGGTCCCACAGTTCGACTTAGCCAGCTGACAAACTGTGAAATAAGACGAGGCTGAAGTCGGTAATTCGCCACATTGTTGTTCCCCGTTCCACCTTAAATGGTGCCGCAGTTGCACTGTGGCGCTTCAGAACTCACAGACGCCAGAATGGAACTGCTGCGTCATTTAAGGTGGAACGTGAAAATTCGAACAAGAAGCTGGCGAGTGGGAAGCTAACTGCAGCTTCGTGTAATTAAAATAGGCTCTCTCTAGTCTTAAAGCCTGTTTAAACTGCAGATGACTTATTCAATAAGGAACTTTTATGTCTGAATGATCAGTAATTTGTCGTGAATGAGTAGTTTGGTGCTCCTCTCTCTCTCTGCCACCTTATCAATACACTTTGAATCCTCTTTCTGAAGTTAAATGGGAACTCAAATTAATTTTTTGCATAATTAAATCGTCAAGATGTAAAACAAAGTCATTAAGAGTGTTTTGGTGTTAAAAGGTTCAGTTCTTGATAAACTTCCCGAGTCAGAATGATTCTCATGGCTGTAATAGGAACCAGACGTCTGAAGTGTTTAACGCCTTTAAAAGCTACCTCACAGTAAGTTATTGCATGAAATGTTTATGAACTCAGTCTGATGTCTGAGACATTGTTTTGCAGTAGTTTTGTGATCAAATTTAGGCCTAAAACTTTTTAATACATTTATTTTAATCCATTCTTGGTGGAGGGACACATGAAGGGTATTCTAAAGCAAAATAGTCCTCAAAGAAAACTTGTATTTTCAGATTTACCTCTGTTTTACTATCATCAACATCTCAAGACGTGCAGGTTCACTGGTGGTTTTGGAAAATAAGTAAAATGATTAAATTTGTATAAAAGACATTGGGACCCCTGGTTCCTGTCAACACAGCTGTAAAGAAATCTGACTCAGCATGCTTCTCTACAAATTAACCATTTCACATCAAACCACACTGCATGCCTTTCTTTACATGTCAACCACTGAATTATGCAGGCATTTTGGAAAAAGGTGGACTTCCCCTTTAAATGCACTAGGGTGCCACGCCAATGACAAAAATTAATAATTATTAATTGGAATTATATTGGGTGGAAGTATATTGAGGGTTGTGAGCACCACTTTAGTCTGGTTCCTGTATATATAGTCAGAGTGATTTAACAGTTGACATCCAAAATAATATCTACACTATACAAATGACCAGTGAACTTGCGTGGATATTCACATGTAATGTAGAGATTGATAAAATAGTGGTAAATCTGAAAGAAAAAAAAATATATATATTTTACCTTACAACACCCTGCATACCTCTCCACCATGTGTGGTTAAAAAAAAGTTTTAGACCAACACCTGATCTAAACTAATATAAAACAAGGTCTGAGGCATAACCATTTCAAGTAATAACATTCTGTGAGGGAGCTTTTGGAGGCATCAAACTCTTCAGACGTCTGGTTCCTATCACCACCACTGTGAACAATTCTGACTCGGCAGTTTTCTGTAGAACGGAGAATTTCACGTCAAACCACTCTGAATGACTATTTTTAACATGTCAGTGATTGAATTATGCAGAAACTTTGAAAAATAGGTGGAATTTCCCTTTAAGGTGCTGGAAAAGGCGAAAGTATAATTGTGCATTGATTATGTTAGGTTTATTTGACTCTTCTGGATATTACATTTTCACACTGTAAACCTTGATTAATACATCAGAGGTTTGTTTGTATTACTTCAAAGTATAATCTAGTTACAGTTGTGATTCATCCAGTGAACGTCAGTACCTCTGTGTGATCTTCCTCACTCAGTGTCCTGGAAATGACTCTGGTATAACTGTTACCCTAACTTTCATCAACTTACTTGGAGTTAGTGCTGAGAGTTTTATCCTGTGGGTGAATTAATATCTCACAGGTGGTGATCTTCATCACTCAGGGCGTTGGAAAAAAAGACTTGAGTAATACAGAAAAATTGTGTAATACGTACATTATTTCATACATTTATTGTTCTTAGATTATTATACACTTAAGCATTTGTGGCCACTTACATAAAACATATTAAGTATTTATCTGTAAATTTATTGTAAGCTTTGCAACAACATAAGGTTTGAAACATAAACTGAGTGTCTAGAACTCCACTTATACATTTATACAGTTTATGCAGCTCACTAAAGGTAAAAGGAAAACTTAAGGCCAAATTTCACTTGAGCGGAACACACAAGTGACCATTGGTCTTTCTCTTCTGAATTTGAAATGTGCTGTATAAATAAACCTGCCTTGCCTTGCTTACCAATTACAAATAGAGTGTGAAACAGTGGCTATGCTACTGAATCAGATGGACTGATCCCTTCAGTTATATTTATATATGGTTAATTGCACACTCCTTTTTTTCTGTGTTCTCAGATTCAGCGTTGAGGTAGACGTCCTGGGGAGACTTTCTGCATTGCTGTCCAAGCTTTCTGATGAGATTCAGGTTTTCAGTGAAGAGGACCAAGAACAACAGTCTGCTTCGCTGTGCCTTCAGCTTACAGCTGAGTGCTTCCGAGCCCAGCGAAATGCCTGTGTGCAGTGTCCTCGCAACCAGTGCATTCTAAGGTAACTTGCTGAATGTATTGTTGAATGCTTGTGCATTTCTCTCAGAGAGTAACAATAGCCTGTAGTCAGGATATGACAGTTTAGAAAGTGCATGTTGTGCAAAAAATCACTTTTCTTTCATTTGCCTTTTGTTCTTGCAATGAAGAAAGCATTAGTGGCCATCTCTGCTCATTGGATGAAGAATCAAATCGAGCCGTAACACATAGGTTAATGGTATTGATGTACTGTGGGGAGAAACCTGTGGCCAAAGAAACAAGGTCACATTTAAGCTTTTGTCTTCCAATAGGGATCAAGGTTGTATCCAATTATCGTTAGGAATTTTGGGAAAACTTCTCAAGCTTTCATCAGGAACCTCTGATTACCTCTTTGATGGTAAGTCTCTGACAGATCTGGGGTTGGTAGCGCCATCTGTACATATGTTTAAACATAGGCTAGTTATGAAGGAAGTGTTTATTATGTTCAGGTTTACGCAACACTAAGTCAAAATGGGTTGTACTGCTAGTCTTTATGTTGTTTTTGTTATAAATAAGTGTAAGTTTTGGAGTTGCCAACCGAGCCCACATAGTTAGCACAGAATGGCAAAAACGTGGCCTTTTTTTGGTTAACTAAGCTAAATACACTACATGCTGTATGCTGGGATTTACATTTATAGCTCTAGTCATCGCCCTGGTTTTAACTCCAAACATGATCGACATCCATAACTCCAGTTCAGTGAGACTCAGCTGTACATTTTTAAAAGCTGCACATTTGGTCGAATGCAGATATTAAACAGTGATTAAGCAGTGGCTATATGTATTCAGTTTTATTCAGATCAGCTTGTACACATCGTTCTCTTGGGACAGTTTGTGAAGTGGTAATAAAAAGAGAAATCAGTGATTAGTGAATTCTCTTTGATCTGTATTACATTGAAAAGAATACAAAAACAATATTTTATGATTTACGTTATGAACATCAGTGTTTTTTTTTATAAATATACACACATTCTAAATTGCCTGCAACACATTCTGAAAAAAATGGGACAGGAACATGTTTACCACTGTGTTACATCAGCTTTCCTTTTAACAACACTAAAGAAATGTTTGGGGAATAAAGACACCTACTGTTTTGAAAGCAGAATTGTCCCCGTTTTTCTGGTACTCTAGTCTTTAAATGTCCTTACAGGTTCTGTATTGTCATGTTACATCCGTTTTCAATAGGCGATAGGTCTGGACTGCAGGAACCTGATTACACAGCCATGCTGTTTTAACATGCGGAAAATGTGGCTTGGCATTGGCAGTGTTGAAATAAGAATGGACATCCTTGAAAAAGACGGCGTCAAGAAGGCAGATGCTCAAAATGCATTCAGCGTTAATAGTGCCTTCCCAAATTACCCTGGATTTTGAACTTTACGCTGGTAACAATCTGGATCATCCTTTTCTTCTTTGGCCTAGAAAGAACATAACATTCAATATTTCCATAAACGATATGAACGACTGACTTATCATACAGAGATTTTGCCAGATTCACTGAATCTTTTGATGATCTAATGTGTTGCAGAGGGTGAAATACCCTATAATGCTTGAAGTTGTTCATTGAAAAAAAAAATTTTTAACCTTGCTGATGCATTTTTGGCAAAGTGGCAAGCCTCGACCTGTCCTGGCTCATAAAGGACTCTGCCTTTCCTGGATGCTCCTTTTATACACAAGCGTGATTGCATCACCTGTTTAAGATGTTTTTTGAATATTGACAAGTTGACAAGATAAAACATGATATAGATTGTTTTTGTGCTGTTCTTGTTCAAATACAGGTTAAAGCAGATTTCTAAATCACTGCTTTCTGTTCTTATCTGCATTTCACAAACTGTCCCAAATATTTGGGAATCGAGCCAATGAGATAACATATGCAAAAGTTTTTACCTGAGTTTTACCTGAGTTTAACATATTGGAGAAAAAAAAAACTTAAAATATAAAGTGTGCCATAACCTTTTTACAGCCACATTTTATATTATATTTTTTTCCCAAGATGTTAAATTCAGCAAATAAGCAATACTTGTGCATTAAAATATGCAGAAGTGTGTTGTCTGTAGAGAATGTGTTAGCTTACGTTCACTTAGAAAATTAGCAAAATATGTAATTTGACCAGGGATGCCCAGACTTTTGCAAATTACTGTATTTTTGCTTTTGCTGAATGTTTTTATTTTAAAAATGATATTTAATTTTGGTAAGAAAACATATAGTGTAACATATAAACTAAAAAATAAATCTGTGCCCCTTGACACAGTTGTCATTGACTGTAACACAGATGTAAAAACACGTATGTAGCAGTTACTAGCTAATAGAGAGTAACAGTCGGTACGCTGACAAGAGGACACTAAGAATATCTTTTCACAGGATTTAAAAGCAAGACAATGTGCCATATTTAAGGAACGTATTGGAGTATTAAAGAATATATACATGTACAAATCTTACAAAAACGTACAACATGCAAAAACGTTAAACTAAAAAATTGCTAGCTAGCCGTTTTGTCTTTTTGGCTTTCATCCAACCACAAATATTACACTTTGGCCCCCAATACAAAAGGTTGGACACCCCTGGTGTATACGCTACATTTACATTTTTGAGTGATTTAGGCGGTTGTCCACATCTCTGTTTTGGCAGCACTTCGATGTGGGATTCAGTTTCTCGGTAATATTGCAGTCGGGAACCAGCTCTGCAAAGCTGACATTTGGGACCATGGTTTTCCACACATATTTTTGTAAGTAAATTTGCACCAGACCAACCAACACTATTTCAAAATCATTATTTGGAGGACTTAACTCTTAACAGTGAGATGACTTCCATATGTGTGGTTCCTTGAATGAGTTCTGTTTCTGAATGACCTCTTCTTTCCTTTCAGGGATCTGCTGGAGCTGTCTGATGAGAAGGCTGTGGCGTATACATGCATGGTGCTGCACACCTGTCTGGATGAAGACAAGACCGAGCAGCTGAGGACCGAGCCGAGGCCGATGAATGTGGCCCTGAAGGTCGTTGAGCTGTGTAGGACCCTGCCTGATGTAGACTGGACGTATGTTTGTTTACTTTTCTGCATGTAGGCTGGTGTTATTGGCCACGCTACTAAAATCACTGCATATACAGATTCTATAGATTTAATCCAAAATGGTGTTTTAGTGGAGCACAACTGTAAACTTGTATTAATTTGTCTGTGGAGAGGTAGATCAGATTTTAGTGTCTCAATTTCAGACTTGTTTTGCAGGGTTCTGATTGTCACACAGCACTTCTTCAGATCAGCTGAACTCACTGAGAGGATGTATGCAGAGATGAATGATCAAGAAAGGTAAAGAACCCTCACCGTTAAGGTTGGGATGATTAGTACTTTTGAAAAATCGATAAATTGGGACAAAAGTATCAATAAATATTGCTTATTTAAATCTACACTATGTAATTGATTTGTGAATTGAAGACCTCTCTGGAAGAAACGTGTAATTGCATGCAACATCCGGAAGAACATTGTACAACGTCTTTTGTACTTTGGAAATGGTAATGATGCTACTTTCAGTTTTAACTAAAAAAATTACATAGTGCACTTACATATTCTGTATATCTTTGACGGTTTCCATTTGTGCCAGAGGGGGCAAGTTTTGTAGACAGACCAAGAAAAAATTAACACAAATGCTGTCTTTCACTAATGAACTTGTGCCATTGCGCTTATATTTTGTTCACTTATTTTATGCTCTAAACTCTGAGAGCCTCAGACGTCAACACAGAGCACTGTGGCAGAGCTTCAACTCCGGAGTGAGTCGGTGGAACTCTACATGCTGTTTGTTGAACATTTTTAGCAGAGTGGGCCGTTACCCAGCATCTGTGTCTTGGAGTCGCACTGTCTAAAAGGAAAAACTGTGTTACTGTTACTATTCGGTGAATCCGTTTCTTCGTTCTGTCCGCCATTTTCAGTGTTAAATAAGAAAAGCGCATCAGACACATTCTGAAAGTTTATGTCCGTTGCGTGAAAACATTAAACTATGCTGAAGCACAAAAAATCCTGCTTCTGATGGTGTTTTTCCTGAGTGGAAGCACTTCACTGCGACGCTCACTCATTCTGGCAACTCACTGCTGTGTTTGTAAATAAAGAAAAAAAAGGACTGAAATTTTGAATAATGGAACAGCACACAGAACACTCGCCTATACAACTGGGGGAGCAATAAAGTTCATCTTATTGACTTCATGGCTGTTAGCGGTAATTGCCAAAATATCGATCCCTACTTACATTACACTGCAATGCAGGTGCAAAGCTTATGTTGCTACAGAGAAGCAAAAACTGTTTGCGCTCAAGAAGCAACATAAAAACAACATGTTTAAATTACGAGTGAAATAAAATTACAGCATTTTGAAACCTTGTATAAAGGTAATTGTTTGGGAACTGTTCTGTGAAGCTCCTGTTACACTACATGATTTCTGCACTGATTGCACAGATTATCTAGTGAGAGCGAAAACAAGTCAGTCTTCAGCTTTCTGTCGTACCTCTGGAGGTTTGTTTGATTTTTTTTGACTGAAGATCTATGTCTAGTCTTAAACCCATTAGCCAATGACTAGGGGGAAAAAAGCGCGCCACGTGTGCAGTCAACCACAGAGATGGACGACTAGAATGTAGAACTTTGGCAAACACTTGAGTGTCTTTGTAATGTATGGGCCAGAACTTCAAGGCGCTCACTTCACAATTTCAGTTCAGCTTCCAGTTTGTAGGAAAATGTTGGAGAAGAAATAGATAATGATGTCTACGTTTTCCCACAGTTTTCGTCTACAGTTTTCGTTTCTTCCGTTACTTGTCTGGTTCGGTAAAATGCAGTATGTCCAGCTCCATCTTTGTTTGTGTCAAGTGATAACAGGATTGTGCTGATTCCCTCAAGATTTGTGATTTTGAGGATTTTTTTGGTAGCCTATTCCTTGGCAAAACTTACGTGACACCTTTGTGCGGTTGCCCAGTCGTCCACTGTGTGCCAAAAGGAGTAAATCATACATGGATCCTTATTCCGTAGCCCACATAGAAATAACTGTTTTCACTTGCTTTTTTTTTTAAGGCTTACGTTACTGGAGCTGATCTTAGCTCAGCTTGGGGAAGGTAAAGAGGACTCGCTGATTCCTCTGAGAACAGCCCAGTTCCTGGTCTCCTGCTTCCAGCACAGCTGCAGAGTTGTTCTCTCTCTTAGCTCTGTCTCATCGGATGATGACCAGGTAATTATTCCAAAACTCCTTGGACTATCGTGTGTTAAAATCAATCAAGGTTGAAGCACTGACTGATATCTCAATTATTCTGTGTATGAAGAAGGCCTTGGCAGTGATCATGCTTCTGGATATTCTCTGTGAGATGACCTCTGACCAAAGGACGTTCATGACCCTGCAGGATCACCCAGACCTCCTCCAAACAACAGTTGGTAAATAGACTAAGGATGGTCGACTTGACAGATTTTGTCTTTTCATATGAAATTTATAAATGTAGATCTCAGTAAGAGAATGTAGACTTACTGTAAGCTCAAAGCTGGAAGAAGTCATTGACCAATACGAGAAGTCTGATGCTACTACAAAGTGCAGTACTTTTCAGTTGTTTTTAGATACAGGGTGTTTGTTTTGGTTCAGGGAGCAAATTCAGTTTGCTTGATGATGGGATATTTTTCAGTCTCGGTATTCTGCGGTCACTCAAATGACTGGAAAGAGTCGATTTCTGGCCAGTTTATGATGTTTTTAGCCACTCTCATTCAGAACACACACAAAGCAGCCATCACTTTGGGCCAAGGCAGGGAACTTTCTCCACCAGCAGGTCATACCACGGGTTGATACACACAAGCAGTGTTCTTTACAGTCAGATCAGTTCAGTTCTGTTCTTTTGCCATCTGTAGGTATTAAAAATATATACATTGGAATTTAAGTGTGGAGCTTACTCTGAAGTATATAAAAAGAAAAAAACATACAGCCACTTATCAAACATAAATCAGTTTGAAACTTTTAAAATATGAACAGCATATTTTTTTGTTCTCAACTTAGTAGAACAGAACATAAAAGAACCAAAAAATCATTGCAGGATGATTCTGATCTTGTACAATGTTTATTTCTCATGAATAGACACTCTCAGCGCACAGAGTCTCTGTGTGGGGAAGTGTAGCTCCGAATGTGGTGCAACCACAACCCTCTTCAGTGCCTTCCATTCAGAACAGTTCAGAATCCCATACCAGGCTGTCACAGAGTATTTCAAATGTTCTATATCTGTGGATCCCAGCCTGGTCGTCAGGGCCTCCCAAGTGGTCTACATTTTTGCTCCAATCCAACTTGCAACACATAGGGATTAAGAAAAAATGTGGACTGTCTGGGGGGCCTTGAAGACTGGGTTGGTAACCACTGCTTTACATAGTACACATTAGGGGAAAAAATCGATTCTTAGATGCATCGCGATGAAGACATGGACGATTCTGAATCGATTCACAAATGTCAAAAAACGATTTTCTAAATATTTCATTTATAACGTAATGTTGACGGAACGCAAAGGGCGGAACTTGGAAGTGCGGAAGTGCAGCGCCCAGACAGTCTGTGGCGGCACATAACAAAAACACAAGTGGATGAGTGAGAAATCCGACCGGCTCCCTCTGCATTAAAGCCAGGTTAGGTCAGGAGTCACAACACAAATGTTAAGAAGAGCCATTTTGTCCTTTCAACAAAAGTCAAACCACCTTGTGAGCCACAACATTTAATGTCCAATAGGGGTGTGAATCTCTAGGCACCTCACGATTCGATTCAATTACGATTCAGAGGGCTGCGATGTGATTATAAAATGATTATGGATGCATCTCGATGCATCTTTTTTTTCTATATAGCATTTATATTTTCTCACTGTGTGAGCTCAAGTTTCGAGTTCAAGTTTATTTCTCATTTGCACAACATGTCAGGACATTTATGCATTGAAATGCTTGTGGTGAGGCTCAGCTAATCACTCTACAGAAAGTAAATAGGTAAAAATAAAAATACAAGAAAAACCAACTGAAATATATTAAATTTACACAAAATATACGCAGAATATAGAGACTATATACATTTAAAGTGACTAAGTAACTCAGTGTTATTGTTATTTAAAGTGACTTGGTACTTTTAAAGCAAAGTATTTGTCATGATCCATAATGAATTTACTTCCAGTATCTTTTTTAATAAAACAAATGGAAGTGATGTGGCAAGTGAACTAGAAGGCTCTCATTCAGTGCTCTCGTTTGGAGCACAAGAAGCTGCAGCTACTCATCTGCGATAAAATGTGCAGTTACGGTGAAATAAGATCCAGTGGTGATGGATGTCCATGCAGCACATGTTACAGCTATTCGACCCGTTTTCTTTAGTGATTTTATAACTTCGGTTTTGGTCTCGTTGTAGAGACGGGGGGGATCGCTGTGTCAGTAAAGTGTCTTTGAGACGGGACGTGTTCAGCACAGCGCGAAAGCCCTGTTTCGCAACCACTGAGAACCGGCGTGCAGACTGCAGGTCACATAGCAGCGATGCATTATTCTCATATATAAGCAGCGCACTTGGTTTCCTGGTATGTTAAATCTGCAACGAGAGACTGTCACACACTGAAACTGAAGTCGCTTCTCTTTCGAATTCTCCCGTTCCACCTTAAATGGTGCCGCATTTACATTCGGCGCCTCAGTTAGAATTTAAGGTGGAACGGGTAAATTCGAACAAGAAGCTGAAGAATAAGAAGCAACTTCAGCCTCGTTCAAACAATCGAACGTTGAGAGACATTTAACTGATCAACTTCTGAGGAAAAGTTTTCTGGCGGAGATGGGAGGAAAGCGGCTATAGCTAAAGCTTAAAGTAGAGCGAAGTAAATCTGTGTTTTTGTTTATATTTTTAGCCCATACTAGGACATTATCACATACTGAGACATAATGGACATTAAATGTTGTGGCTCCCAAGGTGGTTTGATTTTTGTTGAAAGGACAAAATGGCTCTTCTTATCATTTGGGTTGTGACTCCTGACCTAACCTGGCTTTTAATGCAGAGGTCGGATTTCTCACTCATCCACTTGTGTTTTTGTTATGTGCCGCCACAGACTGTCTGGGCGCTGCACTTCCGCACTTCCAAGTTCCGCCCTTTGCGTTCCGTCAACATTACGTTATAAATGAAATATTTAGAAATTCGATTTTTGACATTTGTGAATCGATTCAGAATTGTTCACGTCTGCATCGTGATGCATCAAAGAATCGATTTTTTCTCGCACCCCTAATGTCCAGTATGTGTTAATGTCCTAGTTTAGGCTAAACAATATAAACGAAAACACAGACTTACTCTGCCTTCTTTAAGCTTTAGCTATAGCCACTTTTCTTCCATCTCTGCCAGAAAACTTTTCCTCAAAAGTTGAATAGTTTCTTGTAAAATGTCTCTCAGCTTTCGGCTGTTTTACGAGGCTGAAGTCGCTTCTCACTCGCCAGCTTCTTGCTGAACTTTCCCGTTCCACCTTAAATTCTGACTGAGACGCCAAATGTAATTGCGGCACCATTTAAGGTGGAACGGGAAAATTTGAAAGAGAAGCGACGTCCATCTTCGCAACTTTTTAGTTAGTGTTTGACAGTCTCTCGTTGCAGATTTAACGTACCAGGAAACCAAGTGCGTTGCTTATAAATGCGAATAAGTCCATTCATCTCCAAATGTTTGTCTGTCTTTCTCTTTTCATTTTTCGTTCGCTACTCGCTCGGCGAAACCTCGTTGCTACGTGACCTGCAGTCTTTCGCGCTCCCCCCCATCACGAGACCAAAACTGAAGTTATAAAATCACTAAAGAAAACGGGTAGAACGGCTATAATGTACTGCGTGGACATCCATTACCACTGGATCTTATTTCACCGTAACAGCACATTTATTGCAGATGAGTGGCAGCAGCGTCTCCAAACAAGAGCACTGAATGAGAGCCTTCTAGTTCACTTGCCACATCACTTTCATTTGTTTTATTAAAAAAGATATTGGACGTAAATGCATTATGGATCATTATAAATACTTTGTTTTAAAACTACCAAGTCCTCAGACAGTAAGAAAATAGAAATCATGTATAGAAAAAAAAAGATGCATCGATAATCTTTTATAATCGCATCGCAGCCCTCTGAATCGTAATCGAATCGAATCATGAGGTGCCTAAAGATTCCCACCCCTAGTACACATATAGAAATTCCTTAAAATCTTAATTCTGAAACCCACCTTCTTTGTAGTTCTTAAATACAGACGCTTTTGAGCTTTCATAATCAGTGAAGTGAAATTCACTGACCGTGAAAGATCCGATGAAATCTCAACTCCTAAATATCAAACAGTTTATTACTACCACCTCTGTTCCATTTATTATAACTGGCAAATGTGATCCATGTTTCCTAAAATCAAATATCGCCTCCTTCATAATTATTAACGCTCAGAACAAGATTGTTGGTAGCACAATTGTTGTATCTTGGAAACCACGTTTGAGGATATGATTGTAGCAAAAGCCAAGCTGCAGTCAATAAAAAGTATACAGATACAAGCACCTCTATTTTCAGTCAACCGCTTTATCTAAGCATATGCCTTAGCTATTGAGACGGGGCAGATAATGCTGCGCTAGTCTAGAATGATGCTTCTTTTTTTCTCTGTCACTCTCTGAGTATTGACCTCTCATGCCACTCTATTTCACTGAATTCTTTCATACACTTTTCTGTCCTTCTTTCAGAACTTAATACATTTAACCCTGAAATGCATTGATGTTTCGCCAACAATTCATACACACATTACGGGGCAATAAAAACTAACACAAGCTGATACAAAAACTGCAATGATAGTGTAATAATCTTATCTGAATTAATGGATAAGATTTAGGGAGGGAAATGAGGTACATTTAAAGGTTAATATCTCCCTTTTGTGCATTAGATCTCCTAAAGGACGTCCACTTGTTGGGGAAGGCCAGTAAGAACGTGTTCAGTGCAGCACAAGAGTTCAGCACCTTCACAAGGCCTGGGGATGCTAGCACTCACCCTGCACTCAGCTTCAAAGCCCACCTCATCCGGCTGATCGGAAACCTGTGCCACGGCCACACAGCCAACCAGGATCAGGTACTCCGCACAAGACCCAAAACACGGAAGGTGGTTGTTAGTTTAAAGGAAAACATCAACCCAAAAATGGAACTGAATCAAACCTAGTGAAGGCTAGGGCTGTCAGAAAAAATTCAACATTGGAATAATTATCAAATTCAAAGAAAAAATTAACCTTCAAAAAAGTGTCCATTTAAATATTTAAAGCTACCTCTGCTGCAACTCCTAGTGTGTTCCAGGCTAGTAATGATGACTATCAGTGGAGGACAGAACATGTCATTGCTGGCCATAAACAAACAAAACAGCTATTTATTTTGGTTTTAATTAGCATTGTGTAGAGTTGTATATACCATGGGGATATGTTTAAACGTCCGACATTTTAGCACATCAGTCATTCTCAAGATATGTTTACTGTCTAAACCCAATAACGCTAATAGACAAAATACGTTCTCGTGTGAGGTAACCGAATGTTCTGCTTCAGATGGCAGAATTTTCTGACAAGCCAACAGTTCGAATGTAAACATTTGTGTCGTAGTAAGCTAATAATCATGGTAGTGAATAAGGTAGTGAAGCTATGTGGTTAAGCTGCAACACAGCTGCTGCCCATGCCAGTTGCACACTTTTACTTTCACAACAGTCAATAGGCTGTGTTTCTTTTTTGATGACCATCTCGCAGGTCGTGACCCCCAGGCTGAGAATCACTGGTTTAAACACTGTATGCTTTTGGGGACACTTGTTAATTTATGCTGTACGACCCGGGTGGATGTAGGAGACATGACAGAAATCTGGTGTTACAGTCATACAGCTTCTTACATATTTTCAAAATAATAAAAAAATCATGTTTTTGTTTGATGGAAAAACAATGCATTTAAAATGTTATGTGTTTAAATATTTTTGTCATATTTGTCAAACAAATATGGGATAAATTTGATTTCTTATTCCATCTAACAGTCCTAATGGAGACTAGGAGTCTTTATAACATGGGTGTCCGGTCTTATCTGCAAGGGGCCGGTGTGGCGGCAGGTTTTCATTCCAAACAAGCTGAGACAGACCTGATTCCACTTTAATCAGTTGTTCTTGCTTTGTTGGAATGAAGACCTGGAGCCACACTTCGCTGATAAGAATAGACACCCCTCGCTTATATAAAAATCTGCCCACTTGGTGAGCATCTTTGGCAACCCCCCCCCAGGCAGTTATTTCCAGTCATATAAGACTGTGCTCTTATCTCTTTGAGGTAGAGACCTATAAACCTAAAAAATGAAAGCCATATTAATCATAGTAAACATATTTGAAATCACTGATCAAATCTGACAAAAATAGTTTGTAGCGTTTGGCTCAGATAATGCACAAAAATTAATTTTTTTAGGTTGCTCTGGCTACTGCGAGTATGCATTTCTCCACAATGAGGGCAAATTTTCACGCTGGTGCATTTATCAACAAGCCAGTTGGCTCTTTTTATTGAAAGGTGAAACTTTCCCCATAAAGAGACCCCACCATTACAAGCTTTCTCATTCATTTTTCAACCAGTCTCTTCCTCGTTTATCTTAACTCTGGTACCATTCAAAATGTTTGATACCGAAACCAATAAAGATACCTTGACTTTACTTCAGACCAAAAGTAAGCATGGCTCTAACTATTAAAGAGTCTGAGTTGCAGGAAGTGAGTATATTTACTGACCGCAAGGGATTGTAGACTCAAGAGGTGGTGATGTGAATAATATGCAAAATGAAACATAAGTAATGTATGCAAAATGTAAATTAGACAGCCAATCAGCAGTCTAGATTTTGGACCAAGCATGCTTATTACTTAACTGAGTCTGGCAGGACTTGGGTATTGAAATTTAATATCGAAAGACATGGAATTATTTGTAGTATTGAAGTAATTCAGCCTGTACCTGCCCTAATTAGCATGAGCATCATTTGCATAATGTGGGTAGGTTCCTAGCTTTCGTCTTTTTCCTTTACCTGAATGAAAGACAACATTTTGTTGTAAATCAGCAATGTATGCACTGTATGATCCTAGCCAGTGAATTATTGAAGGTAAGGAATTTTTTCTTTTCTTCAATTTCTGGATAATCTCCACCACTCAGGTTTCCGTCCCTCCAATTTCTACACATTATCATAATGTAGAACGATTTTCAGTAGATGGAAAGAGGAAACCTAAGACTTTGCTTCCGTGCTTCAAATTGAGCACGGAAAGCAGTCTGCTGTGAACTCGCTCGTCGTGGTTTTAGACCCTTATAGACTATTAACTGCTTCGGTCCTGTCTTTTTGTCAGCGTGGCCTACCTCCTTGAAAACTAATCTAGGGATTAGTAAGTACTGATAAAAGCTCCAAAACCAATCTGAATCTCTTAGCTTGTATCATCTCTTTTACCCCCTCCCTGAGCTGTTTTCCACTTTGTTCTCTCTCTCTCTTTTTAATGAATTCCATTGTGAGTACCCTCCTGTGATGACAGCATTTGCACCCTTTTCAGATGTGTCCTATTCAGTCAGCTAAGAACAGAGACTTGTACCAGCCCTGTTAAATGGGGTCAAGGCACACAAGGGAGGGTCAAAGGCCAAAAAACAATAGCGAGGGAGCCCGAGATTGTGCTCTCACTGTTTGACCGCATAATCCTTCACTTGTGAAGGCTGCTGCTCACTGCTGCATTCTCATGGGTTCCCCTTGCTCGTAGCATATTGGGTCTGCTCTGGCGCAAAGATGTACTGACTTTAGTTACCTTGTTAGAGTTTCATTCCTGGAACTGCTTTATCTCTCACATTCTCCTGGCTAGCTCTCCATATAGCACAGAATGTACAGGCCTCTAGTTAGCCTCTCCGTTGTGTTATTCTGCGTTTTTTTTCCTCGGCTAAGGTGGTTTATGACCCTTCTTAAGTTACAGTGAACATGTTGTTTAATGTACAGTGAGATACTGTATGTGACAGAAACCAGCGCAGCCTGACATGACTGCTCCAAACCAAAACTTCACCGCATGTGCTCGCTTACGCTCAATGGAAAGTCATTGTGCTTTAACTGATCTGGCTTGTGATGTCCTCAGCTTGCGGTAACTGCTGTGCACTGATAATTAGCCTTGAAATATCTTCACTCTTATTTGCACATATCTTGTCTCCCTAGGTCAGAGAACTGGATGGTATAGCCCTCATCCTGGACAACTGCAGCATAGACAGCAACAATCCCTGTATCCTTGGTCATGTCTCATTCTGTCGGCCCCCCTGACTGTTCTGCTGCGGTCACTGTAATGACGGTCTTCTGGTTTAGCAGCAGTCGCCACAAAAAACGCTAAGATATCGCTTGCGAAAGTGAAAATAGCACAGCAAAAAGCCCCTTAGCTACCATTCCTAATGGAGGGTTTACCACACTTTGTGTGGGGAAATGAGTGATCACTGTATCAGGGGCAAAGTGTGGATGTTATTGGCGGAGGTTCATGGCCACTGTCGTGCACAACCGCCATAAGGCATTTCACTAACGCGACTCCAAGCAAATGGAAGACATCCCCTGGTGCGACGAGACATACCATTGCTGACTGCGTGATCATTTTCTTTGCCTCCCCATCCATCTTCCTCTGTGAAATATCTGGTCATAATAGTTTATAGAGCTAAATATATGTATTCCTTTGGTGAGTAATTTTGTGGTAGGGGGAGAGAGTCATTTTAACTGATGTTCAACACCTAATGGAAAACATGATTGAAACCCTGGGTCGAAATGGCCACTTAAATGAAGTTATGAGACATTTAGCATTTTTATGATATTGACTTCAGGCCTGCCAAGTCAATTCAACATTAAACGCATCATTGATAGCTCGACAATCTGATCTATCACGGCTGTGCCGGTGGAGTTTCTCTGGTTGATGTTGGCGCTGTAGTCGGGCTGCACTCAAAAGCGTTCCCGCTCCCCTGCAAGCCATACACAGTTGTGTTGTTGCGGGGGCACCAAGGGTCCAGCTGCTTTTCTCTGGAAGATGAGCAGCTAAGCCACCCATATCCACCCACGCACTGTTTTCTGACCACTTTAGGAGGTTGTCATACTCGCTTTCTGTTTGCTAAGGTTGAGTTTTATGCTGTGTTACTTACTGCTTCACCATTGTGTGGACTGGATTGCCCTTGTGTCATTTTAGGTCATGTGCATAGGAAAAAATACATTCCATGTCTTTTTTGCAGTTTTGTAACATCTTTTAAATTTACCTGCATGTAACCAAATATAAAGCGACAAAAAAAAATTATTTCATTTTTATTTTATCTCTCCCTAAATGTAATGGATCAGCTAAGATATGGACAGTTTAGGCTACAAGGTGGCTGCTACTACTGTTTAAAGCTATAATGGAGAAGATTTTGTCCATTGTTAAAAAAAACAGTATTTCATACATTGTCAAAAACCTCATAAGCAAGTCTGTTTGAGATTACTTAACAGCATCAAGGCACATGTGTGATGATACAGGCATGCAGTTTGTACAATGTTAATTGCATATAAGCTTCCATAATTATTAGGTATATTAATGATAATGATAATAGGAATACTAATAGCAGTAATAATTATAATAATTATAATGAGATTTGATTTAAATATGGAGCGAGAATTTAACAGGCTCACTTTTATAGGAAGAGTTCCAGAGACAAGGAGCAAATATAGAAAATGCTTGATTGGCAAAGCTAAGGTTGGAACGGTTAGTCAATCAACTGAGTATGACAAGAAAGTCCAAGTGGGTTTATAGGGAACCAGAAAAGTACAAGTGGGTTTATAGGGAACCAGAAAAGTACAAGTGGGTTTATAGGGAAGGAGAAGATCAGACAAGTAATTGGCTCTAATGCAAAACTAAAGCAGCAAACTTTGGACACCAAACATATCTTGACTGATTGATCACATTTGAGGTAAGAGTAGAATCGTGTGCATTTGGTTTACTTTAAAAGCTTTCTCCATACAGACTTAAAAAAATAAATATGTCACCATATTTTAGATTTGTTATTCGATTCCTCATATTCATCCTTCACTCTTACTCCAGTCATAAGCCAATGGGCTGTCTTTGCCATCCGAAACATTCTGGAACACAACTTGGAGAACCAGAAGGTGGTGCAGGGCCTGAGGAGGCAGGGGGTGGCTGACGACTCAATGCTGAGAGAGATGGGCTTCCGTGTGGAGGAGAGGAATGGGAGCCTACTCCTCAGACCACTAAAGAAGGAGGAGGAGCCAGGAGAGCGCTAAGCCTGGAACAGCGGCGTTCTTCCCACCCCATCCCACTCCTCGGCACTCTAAATTACACTCTGGAGACAGCTTAAGACACCCACTGAGTCCGTTGTGCACACAGAAAACGCAGAGGGCATTTTGATATCCAATCAGTATTGAGAACACAAGGGAGAAAGGGGGGGAGGGTTCCCTGTGCTTTGTGCCGTCAGCACAAGAGGAATGCTGAGGGGCTTTTCTGCGGGGACTCATGCTGATGTCTGTGATGCATTTAGTGGTCTTTGATTCCAGCTCCCCCCTGAATAGGATTCAAATCCTCTGAAACAAGGAGACCCATGTCTTCCTGGCTTTTCAGCTACCAAAGAGATTCTGGTGACCAGTAGGGAATAGAGGTTAATCCCTAATCCAGTGAGTTTTATAGAGAGACCTGGGGCCTCCTGATCCGTTCACATAAGAGTTGACTCTCAATAGCCGTGGGACTTGGTTCCTCTTGTTTTTGTGTTCTGGCTCTGTTTTTGTGTTTTAGAACATCACGTTTATCTACAGGTCTACACAATCCCTGTGCTGCTTTTCTCTTCTACAGCTAAATGAATTCATGCTGATCTGTCTATGTGGTGATTCAGCACAGCTAAATCCATGAGTATTCATTTAGCTGAAGTTTGAGGCTAAATGAGTTGAAATTCTCTCTCATTATGATGCAGAAGCTCCTCCTCTGGCTATTCCGTCCCCTCACTGCTAGCTCTCTTTATCCTTCAAGTCCTTGGATGTGTCTGGGTCTGGTTTGGTCGAAGCGTGTCACACTACGCTCGATCAGACCAGAAGACCAGAAGTATTAGCTTGCAGGGTGACATCTCGTCCACAGAATGAGCTGAGTTGTCCTGACATCTCCATAATACCCGGCCGCAGAGGCCTCTCCTCGCCTGTTTGCTCTGCCTCATATTTTTTAATGACAAAATGTTTGTGCGAAACAATCAGGGTTGACTTTTCTCCCAATCCAGGCTATAGAGCAGGGAGCTTATACGGTTCCGGTGGCCAGCGGTTCAGACGGCTAACAAAACACGTCCCCTTTACTTCTGCTCTGCTGGCTGCCTGCAATGCTTTTCACACACAGGAAAAAGAGCGCTGAGCGAGGGAATGAATGAGGTGGCGCAGCGCAGCTATTCAAACGTTGGACAGGGAGGAGAGGAGGGCCCAGCAAGAACGCCATCCATGATCGCACATCGTTCGACTAATGCAGTTGTGAAAATGTTGAAAAGCTGTATGGCTGATGTACCTTAACCTACTATAAAACACTTGATCACTGGATATTCTGCTGTTAAATAAAGATGAGGAGCATTGGTGGAATTCAAGTATCCTCAAACTGTTTGATTCTTTTATTCACCTACTGATTTACTGCCATAAAGACTACAAGTATGACCAGGCTACAAAAGGATGAGATGAATTCGTATCAAACTTGAAGTAGACAAAACAGTGGAGACAAACACAATGTATACATAGTTAATTTGGGACAGAACGCAGCATATTCTGTGGTTCTCAAATCATGAGGAAACAATGACAATATAATGATAAGGAAAATAGTAATAATAATTACTCTGTTTTTTTCTGAATATACATGACATAAAGTGCCATCTTTTCTACATAAAAAAATATACTTTTACAAATTTGCCAGCCATAAAACGTGTACAAACAATACCGAATAAAAAATGTTGCTACCCAAAATAGTTATGACCTTCAACCTTTCAGAACCCCAGCTGTATGGTTAGGCAAATTCCAATGGCTCAGGCGGAGTATAACTGGCTTGTGCAAGCAAGGCTAGTGATGTGGAATCCCATTTCTCTGGCATTCATGAGAAATGTTGTGGTCACACGAATGCATTTTGTTGAAGCATGTTAAAGGAATAGTTTGCTGTTTTTCATGTTCCATAGGAAAGTTCCCTAAATGCTGCATTTGTACAGTATGGTCAGTTACCATGCATCACACTTCTGATGTGTTTCCCAGTGCTTCCTTGAAAAGAACAGAAAACCTGTGAGAACTTACAGTAGAAACCAATGGGCAGTTGCCGAATTCCCACTGCCTTCTGTTATAAGAGCATTTGGCGTCTGGAGTTCTGTTCTTTTCAGTAGAGGGAAACGCATCAAAATCATTGTCCATGGTAATCGACCATATAACATAGATTAGTTTGAACACTGGAGTAGTCCTTTAACAGCTCCATTGTTCACACATAGACACAGACATTTACTGACTGAAAATGGACCGAAAAAACAATGCAGTATCTCCTCACCCAGTGTAGTGTAGGAATGCAGTATAGCAAAGGATTTTTTTTAAACATAAAAAGTTCCACAAAAATATGTATTTGGGTTGAGACGACAACAAAACAACCTCACACAGCATTCAGCAACACATTCAAAAACTCAATGGCATCTTGTCTAATTGGCTGTAGATTTAGGTGGCCTGTTTTCCATCAGTGAAGCAGGGAAGAGAAGTGGTTTGTGACTGTGAACTTTTCTGTGTGAGTGTGGCCGTAGCGTATTTTTATGAGATATGGAAATACATTAGCAACGTATCAGTAGCAATCATTTTCAATGTTGTACAAGAAACATCTGTCTTAACAAAGTCAGTACATCAACGCATTATCAGTTTTCTCTCCAAAGGAAAGGAAACGAAAAGCAGTCATTTTTCAGTGTTCCAAAGATACAGTGTGACCAAGCATTCCAGCATTTTACTCTCTGCAGTGTTCCTGTCTCCTACCCTTTCCTTCTTCCATCCCATACATTTGACAACAGCTCCAGTTTTGAGATTTTGTGTTAATTCTATTTTCTCATCCCTTATTTAGCTTCTTTCTCTGGCAATTGTTAGTCAATGTGGAGAGCATCAGATCCACAGAAGAAGCCTCCGTTGACCTTCCTTGAGCTTCAGAGACTGAGAACTGAGCTCCCTGCCTTGTATGTGTTCCCACATATATCATAGAAAGCATAGTCAGTGCATTTTTCCATTTTCCCTCCAGAGACTCTTCAACTTCTGTCCTCTTTCTTGGTAAAGAGTGCCCGATGTGCAAAATGAAGCCGTGAAAAAGCGAGATTACTTCCTATTCCGCTTCATTTTTGGCGGCCTCATGCCTGTCCTTCCCTCATCCTCATCCTCCTCATCCTCACTTGCAGGTGAACACCTCTGTCTTTTCACTGCAGGTGTTGCACTTAACAAAGCAGCACCACTGGAACTTGCAGTTGCACTGCCACACGCGGGTGTACTGGTGGGTGTCGTGGCCGCGGCCGCAGCACATGAGGCTGCAGCCATCCGGGTGGGGTGAGGTGTGGTTGCAAAGTCGCCCCCGTGTCCCTGTGCTGCCTGTGGCCACGTCCTCTTCGCAGTAGTTCGGTGAGCGCTCCAGGTAAACTAGATCTGTGTCAGTGGGTTTAATGTAGCCACGTGCCTGCTTGAGGCGCAGGAAAGAGGGCTGTCGCAGACGAGTGGCCCGCACCGCCTCTACCTGCACGGCCGCCCCATAACGCTCTTTCAAGGCGTAACCAATCTCCCGGAACTTGGGCAGCGTTGTCCAGCATGTCTTGGTGGTGCACGAGCCAGAGACGCCGTGGCACTTACATTCCAATTTCATCCTCTCCTCCAGGACCTGAGAGACCACAGACAGAAAGATAAACCATCCTGCCACACAATTTAGATTTCTCACTCATATTCTTGACAGAAATGTATTAACCCCACCTGTTCTACTAAATAGATTTAGTGACATTTAATGTAACGTAAAGGCCTGTTGGATCATCATCAATGTAATAAAAACAACTTTACCTGACCTCTGCTTCTTGGATGTTTTAACTGATGGTTTAATCCTTTGCTGATTTGAATTCAACTAAACAGGCTGCTCTGTTTCACTATCTGTGGCCAGTTTAAAATTTTATAAAAGCATAAGATCACATGTAATGAAAAGAAAGTATCCAGACACCCCATCTAATCAGTTAATTACTGTAAGGTGCACCCATGTTGATACAGGTGTTCAGTTAAGCTCTATGATATCCATAGAAAAGCAGTATGAGCCTGAGGTCACTATGCCCGATGCCAAAAGTCTGCTAGAGGGTATAAAGCCCTGCAGCATTGGGCTATTGACTGTTCTCTGTAGTGATGGAGCTCCATCCAAAACCTTTGAATGAGCTGCAGTGGCATTTGTGATCTAGAACTAATCATCCAACATAAGTACCTGATCTCACTAATGCTCTTGTGGCTAAATGCAATCAAACCATCAAAGGATTCAACAGAAATGTTGGATCAGCAGGTGTCTACAAACTTTTGGACATTTAGAGGGTCCGTTTCCCAGACAGGGATTAAGCATGTTCCTGGACAAAACAGCATTCTGAATGGAGATTCTCCGCTGAAAGGAAAATATAGTTCAAGACTAGTCCAGCCCTAACCCTGAGCATGAAACCAACCCATAGTTCATCATAAGATTCCATGAGCAGATTGAACACATTGTGTTGTCTTAATAGCAACACAGGCTACAATGAGTGACTGCTATAAAACAAAAGAACAAATCAAAATTAAATAAAACTGATTTCTTCAAATCAAGCAAGTTAAAAAAGTGCCTGTGACAGTCAGCACCAAGGAACATGTGCTTGACACCCAAGCCATTGAGTCTACTAAACTCCTGACTAGAAGGACCAGAGTCCGACAGAGTCTAGTGACTTACTAGACCTATTAGAACATACCCTGTTGAACTGATTTGGGGAAAGTATCTTAGAGAGGCTGGAATGACAAAATGGGCTTGATTCTGGCTCTCAAGAATGACATGAAGAGCCAGGGAAGTGGCAGTTCAGTGGGAAAAAAGGAGTTATACAAATATCATTAGTACTAGTTGGGCACTTTTTTCTCCAGAGGGGATCATATAGTGATTTTCTGATCAACTAGGCAGATAGGCTAGTTTTCACATTAAAGGTTGAAAGACTATACTCCCTACATTGGGATGTTTTTCAGTTTAAAGCGGTTTTCAATGTGTATACAGCCTCTACTTATAATTCAGAAATTTTTCTTTAGTATGAGCAAACAGTTTTATTATTAACCTCTAGGAATTTGACACTAAAAATTATTTCATCAGTTTTGACATTTGTGGCATTAGCAAATTCATGCAGCTGAATGATCGAGGAAATGCTTGACATTCTGCTTTGACTCTTTTCAGCAACATGAACCAAAACCCATTACTCAACAGATCCTGAGCAATGCCTTAATAAGCGTTGCCAGCTATATGTCAGATCTGAGAGGAAAAATTAGGCTTTTGCCAAAACATACCCTGTAATTTTCGCTACCTTCCGAAGGGCCACATCAAAGGGCGAGAAAAATGTCCATGACTCTCAAGTAACCATTTGTGTATATGGTTACGTTTGAGTTAAATGGGGATCTGTTTGGTTTTTTGATGTGTTACCAATGTGTTTTGCAGACTGTTAACCATTTCATTTTGTGTTAAGATGACACAGAATAGAAGGAACTGAAAAGATCAAATCCCTTTTTTATCACACTGTTTCAGAGTGTTGACAGGCAGTTTTTCATTTTTACAACTAAAATAACATTACCTCAATGTATTCCTCTTCCAGCTGAATGTCTTAAATCGGAGGCGTCCATTTCTCCCTGTGTTAATTTATTTTGCTAGCAACAATAAATTATGCAACCAATTAGACTCGCATAGAAACTTCTGTTCTCTTTTGACTTGTTTTCCGGATTTAGGAAGGCCTCATCATGAGCCGCTGATAGAGTTGTGCATGGCCTGCTTTGGCTGTGTGTGGACAGAGCAAGCGAGCAAAAGTGGGGAAGAGAAAGAGACTAGCAATAATATCCTGTATCCTGACTTAATGCTCTGTAATTCAATGAACGGACTGCGGGGTTGTGGCAGGGCTCCAACTGGCAGCGGCTGGCTGGCCTTTGCATTCCCATCACACACAACGAAACCCTCAACTCCATAACCAACTCCATTAGGCACTCTGCTTATGGATGGGCTTTGTACACCTAACGGCCCCCTTTTGTTGGCCTCTGACGTGATAAATGAAACTGGGGAGCGCAGCTTAGGGCAAGCTGGGCTAATCGGGAGGTGGAACGGTTCCATAATGGATACCAACTTGGCCTAATTATATATGTACCTGGAGAAACTGACCAACTCTGCAGAAAATGATCACTGCGAAATGTTTTGCTAACAGAAACTTGAAATCTGTCAAGACCCACAGAGCTCTGCTGTGCTGTTAATTACTTTGCATTACATGTGATTTTACGCTTTCGCAGTAAGTTTTTAAACCGGCCAAAAAATCTATACAGTTTTCCTCCTTAACCTGAATGTAATCAGCCAAGGCATATTTATTGTACTCTGGGGAAAAGCAGAACATTCAGGAGATGCTGGGTTACCATGCTAAAATAACTGCATTGTATTCATTTTACTGCATTTTTAACCCTCTACAAATAAATATTACATTTCTCGGTAATGCCAATCCAGGTGTTCCAGTTTCTTGATTATTATATATCTGTATGTAGTAGCACTGGTATCGGCATCGTCACATTTGTGCATGAAAAATATTGGATATTGGCATCAGCCCATAATTCCCAATGCATCCCTACTTTGAATTTACCTTTTTCCCAATATTGTAGACCTGTACCTTAATATAAAGTAGTACCATCAGTAGTATAATTAATATATATGGTCAAATGACGTTTTGTTGATTTTCTAAGTGAAAATAAGAACACATATGTTACAGACAACTGCACATTAATGCACAATTAACAATTTAACATATTACACAATAAAACATAAAATGTGGCCTGTGCAAAAGTTATGGCACATTTTATATTTTATGTTTTATTTTTTTCCAATGTGTTAAACTTGTAACATGTATAAGCACATCTTCAACTCAAACCTGAATCCCTGCAATAAGTCATATGTCTCTGTGGAGCTATGCTGTGCTTTTCATGGGTCTTCCACTACAACATAAATTAATCAGCTTTGTTTACTGGGTACCTTTCTGCCTGCCTCATTGTTGTGCAGGTTCATCAGCCTGCGGGCGTTTTTTTTTATCTCGCGGGCGTCCACAAAACGCCTGGAGAACTCCACTCCGTACTTGACATCAGCCGAGCAACCGCCCCATTTCCAGCCCTCCTCGTGGTCGTGGTAGCCCTGCTTTTCCCTGTCGCAGCCGCAGTGGCTCAGGTTGCCCTGGCTGCAGGCTGCCGTGACTGCGTGGGCCACGCCTGCTGCTGTGATGGCGTAGGTGAACGCTGCCTCCTTGCTGCCTAGGGAGAGGACAGGACAGAGACTTGTCATATTCTTTGGTTTTATTGCCCTGTGGAGGAGCAGGAAACATTTCAGGACCAATTCAACTACAAATAATAAGAGTTCAGTTCGGCCCTCATTGTCTTACTGTAGTGATTCCCAACGCTGTTAATGGAGCACCCCTACGCTGCACATTTGAATGAATTTCCTGCCCATCCACTTCAACTCTGGAAGACGTTATTAATCGTTAGATGTCACAGTTATCCCCAGTGATAACAAAAGCTTTCAACATTAAATCATTATCACTTCTATCTCCTTAATACAAGTGCAGGTAAAGTGCAGATTCCAAACTTTCAATCAATACCACATTTGTGCTTGTAAGTAGAAGAGTAGAGATTTTATTGTGATTTGAATTTGATGAAAATTATTGTTGTGCTGTTTTGTGCAGTCCTGTTTTGCAGAAAGAAAAATGATCAAAATCATGTTTTTGTGATTTCCTAAAAGCAAAACAATGGAAAAAAAGTAAAAAATGCAGGCTAGAACCTGCCAATAATGTGAATATAGGTATGTCCACTTACAAAGCTATATTTGCAAAGTATAGTGAAATGAAAGCAACAACTCTTGACTTCTTAAGATTAATTAGCAGTTTACCTGGATCAAAAGTGTTAGAGCAGAAAATCAGCAAACTGTACAGGACAGAGTTACTCCAGGACTAGAGTTGAGAACCTCTGTCTTATTGGAAACCATCTAAACAAGCATTTAAAAAAGTGTTTATCGGGTTATTCCCTGCCACTGCCATCTATTCATTCAGTCCTACACTTGCATGACTGCTTATTAGGCTGACTGGTGGAGTCAAGAGAATATGTGTAGTATCTCTGGTTTTCTGTACAAAGCAATAAATCAGTCTAGACCTTAAGTATGATCACTTTGAGATGTGCCCCCGCAGTTTTCATCTGTAGCAGGACGTGAGGGGACAAAAGTGACCTCTGCTGGTGCCTGATGAGCCCTTATAACTGACCCCTAAGGCTCAGTGAGACCAAGACACAGTGACCAGAGTGTTTTTGTGTTCAAATAGTGAGAGGCTTATGGCCTAATGAATAGTCATCAAACAAAAAAGCAGCTAAAGGGCCCTTATCATAGACAACCAAATTTTCCAGGTTTTTAAATTTTTAAATACAAGAGATTAAAGTAGTGTGTACACAGGTAAAGTTTCAAAACACACCATTCGCTCTGCTGTCCATACAGTCCATATATGGAAACTATACTGTAAAGACAGCCTGTTTTAAATGCATTGTTTCTGTGATGTCATGAAAATCCCTAACTTTTACATATATCCACCTGTTCAGTCTACAGCAGTTTAGCTCCACCAATTCATACTGAAGTTATAAGGAGTGTTTCAGCTTGGACTGCATTGTAAGTGCAGCACAATACAGGGCAGCCAATCTAAGCACAGCTCATTTACATGTGTCAGTCTTAAGGGCACAGTAACAAAAACAGCCTGTTTGATAAAAAAATGTAGCACCTTAAAGATAAAAAAACTATGAATAACTTCAATAAAAAAAAAAAATCATGAAAATTAAATTTTATGTGCAAAAACAAAATTTTGTAAAAATGTTCAAAACTAATAATTGCATAGTGTTTTGCCATATCATGCTTTAAATAAAATTATGGATATTTTTTATGTGTTTTCCAGGCTAAAACTGGAAAATTCTTTTTGCTTATGCAAATAAATCTGACCAGAACTGCTGGCCAAAATATCCAAATTGCTATGGACCCAGCCCAGTGTGACCTGGTAGTACACAGTTGGCAACTGCCTGCCTTTCTATCAAATCATGTTGCCAGAAAAGTTATTTTAGCCTGCCATTGGCCTCCTTTTAGAATGGATTTACATACATTTACTGAAGAGGAAATAAATACCAAATTGCAGTTGTTTTCTATTATGAATATTTTGTCCCATCAAAGATATGCTGGCTCTTGTTCCACTTTAAAAAGCCCAGTTACTAATGTGTTGCACTTGTGATCACGCCAGCCTTCTGAACTCCAGCTGACTGGAGAAGCCCTCTCGGTGGTCATCGGAATTTTCCCTCATCCAGCCAAGAGTCCATGTACAGTATACCACGCTCAGTTTTTTAAGCTGATTGACCAGTAATGCGTGCCTGGTTTCATTGATGAATTTCAACTAGCGCGATTCCCATGCATTCTGTGGGCAGACATGGTGCGGCCCTCTTTCAACAGTCCAGAATGATAATGGAATAACAGTTGGGAATGGCAGGAGCCCAGTGGTCAGAGAGCTCAGTCATAAACCATGAGCCAAAAGGGCATGGATTTGATCCCAGCTGATAACATGCCTCTATGTAAGCTGCTTTGGGTAAAAGCTAAATGAGAATAATGGTAATAACACTTTAATCTGAGATGACAGTCCAAACTCTTATAATGCTTTCAGCCTCAGTATTGGTCTGAAGAGATGGCAGTGCATTTCAAGGAACTACTCTGTTCTGCTTCGTTCCTGCCAAAAATACTTTTTGTTGATATTCCACATATCAGTAATATAGTGTGTAAAAACTACAAATGAATAAGCAAAGAGTTGGAATTCTGGAATTATCACAGTCTTAATAAACTCTCATAACAATTTGCCGCTGTCTGGATCTTCAAAATGGTAACATTTTAATGAGAAGGACAAAACATTCTTAGGTTTCAATGTAAGTTACTGTAAAAAGATTCCAAACAACTCTAGACCAATTATATTCATTCACTCATAATGACACTTTCACATATTGCAAAGAACAGCTGGTATTTTCAAATTACTTCAGGTACAAGGTTTTGTTTCAACAGTGATGATATACTGTTGGATAACACATTCAAATTATACATTGCTTTTTTTTATTAAAGATTGATGAACAGATAAAAAACACTATGCAATTCATCACTGTCATAGCAAAACCTCATACCTCCAGCTACCCTTTACACTGTAAGAATCATAATGATGAATGAACCAATAGAAATTAAGGCTGTCAAACAAATAAAATAAAATAATAAAAAAATAAATAATCACAATCAGTCACATTCCTTTGTGTAGTTAATGGCAATTAATCAAATTTTGTTTGCTCCATTTTGACGCTAAAAAAGAAAGTTTCCTTGAAAAAGCTGTGTGTTTGGTTGTAGGTACATGAACAGACAAAATAAGCTTCATCAGAACGTATTTATTCCTTTCAAAACTAATAGAATTTCATTTCAATAACATTATTTTCATCATGTGAGCACACTCCTCCATGATTTTAGCCTCTCGCTCTCATACCACTACATTACACCTTGTTGCTACTGCTAATATTGCCAGTGTTTCACTTGTAAATGATGCTTCAGACTGGATGTACTTCAGGGATAAACAAATTCACAGCATTACAGTAGCTGGAAAAAACTTTTTTTAATCAAGGTTTTATTAAGAGGAGCATAACAGAACTTACCATTAAAACAATATTTCAGAGAGAGTCATAGCAAAAGTGTGCACACAAAAAAAAAAACCCACATACAGTGCTTGATCAACTGAGCTTCAGGGTGGAAATATGATGGTTCCAAAGGGTTGAACTAGGAAAATGCGTTAACAGCAGTTAAAATTAAAAATTAATGTTGTTAACAATTTATACATTTTGTTAATGATCTATTAATTTTGTTAATCATTTTATCATTACTGCTTAAATTTTAGCACCTCTAATTAACATACATTAAAGAACGTTTTTCATCCAGTGATGTGAGTTTTCCCGATTACAACACGGCACAAGAGCAATCATAATGACACTGAGCTGCCTTTTAGATCATGATGTGAAAACCAGCTTCGGGCCCTCCTCCACTCACCAAAGAACATAAGAGAAGGACATGTTCATGTGAAGTGAAGCCTATGACGGAGAACGCCACAGCTGAGAAACAGATACATTTAATTGAACAAAAGAAATAAAAGCAGCCAGCTTTGAGCCAACCAACCCCCAAAAGAGTGATTGTTACCAGCGCCATTGGATTAAACACAGGCCCAAACCACACTTTGACCGAAACAAAACATTTTTGACTGAAAGGCCATTTATATGAGTGCTCCATATTAAAAGCCGCGTTACGAAGGAATAAATCCACATGTGAACCCATAGCAACTGGCGTGTAGTTCCTCCATTTGAGGTTCATTGGAGTCATTGGAATCGTGTGTGTGTATGTGTGTGTGTGTGTGTTGCCAAAACAGATTTTTTGCAGTAATGTCACTGCTGGTGGGAGAATGAAAGTCGCTTTCACTCAAACAGTGAGTGTAGTCTCCCACAGCAATTGAGGACAGATTCTCCCCATGGTTAACCTCTTTTCATCTCCTCTCGTCCTACAGGCTGCAACACCACAAAAATGGCACATTTGGCAGCCATACTCAACCCTGCTTTACAACCCTGCAGCATAAAGCAACACACAATAGATCTAATGCATATGCACTGATATACACTTGCACATGCAGTACTGTATAAAGGTTTCAGGCCACCAACTTTATATTAAAAACTATATATCTGCTCGGAAAAACACCACCATTACAGTAATACAAATTATACTAACACAATAAAGCTTCTGTCAGTGTGTTCGGTTTTGTCAGTTCGGTCAGTTTTCTGAAACTTTTGAGGGAGACTAGAGTTTGTAATACAATTCTTGGTTCAACTAATCAATATTTCTTTAATTAAATTGTGTGCTGGTGGTGGAATCGAACTAATCCCTAAGAAGAGGAACTGAACCAGCTCACAAATATCAATAACTTTTTTTTTAAAAAAAAAAAAGCAAGAAATTCTTGTCACTTTCTGTTGTATTAGTAATACAATACTCCAGTGTTCCAAGCTAATCTCTATCTTCTCTTACTTCAGCACCTGCCCATAAGTGTGTTTCGGGTCAACAGGTTTTTAATACTGCTCTTTAATACAGTACTGTGCAAGAGTCAGAGAGCACCCTTCATTTATTTAATATCCAGTCAAAATTACCATTATTTTCAAGTTATTAATTTTTCAGGAGATAGAAAAAAATTAAAATGAGACTTCTAACAAATGTGTAACACCTGGTAGACCACCAAAACTCCATCAGATAAACAGCACTTAAAGCTTTCACCTTTGAGAGAGAGGAGAAAATCAAGCTGCACTTTGCCTCAGATCTGAAACAGTCCACAGGTGTTTCTGTCCAATCCTTCCACTGTGAGAAGACAACTCAACACTATGAGTCTGAAAAGATGTGTAAACAGTGTTGGTGTTCTCAGAACAATGGACTGACCACCCCAGAGTCCAGACCTCAACATCACTGAGTGTGTTTGGGATTATTTGGATCGTGAGAAACAGAAATTGCAACCAATTTCTAAAACTGAACGTTAGAGGTGTGGAAAAATATCCATGCAGATTTCTCTGAAAAACTGAAAGCAAGTCTCCAGAAAAGAATGGAAGCTGTAAGTAGTGAACACACTGAACACTGAAAACTGATATTAAACTTAGTTGTAAAATATATGTATTCTAATGCTAAAAAAATGAAGAACTTGTACTTAATGGCCATGAAATAAAATAAATAAAAGGTGGTCTCTGACATTTGCACAGTACTGTAAGACCAGGGAAACACATCTGTGGTGATCAACTGCATGTTACATGTGTGGCAGACAAGAGATTAGGTTATAAAACCACTGGAATATTCCTTTATTGTTTATTTATTTTGCTGTCCAGATCACTTTTCTTGACTGGCCTAGGCCGTTTACGCAGTACTGCACACATACACGCAAATAGGCTAGAAAGACAGCATTCCGGGCTGATCTACTGACCCACTCGCAGCTCCTGGCCGAAGACGGTCCTCTCTCCCAGTGCAGAGCAGTTCCAGCGGCCGTAGCGGAACTGGTACTGGCACTCGTTGATGCCCATCTGAGCACCCTCACCGATAACGATGATAGCGTCCGGGCGGCTTTGGCAGATGGCGCGTTGTCGGGGGGCCAGTCCGGGGATCTTGTTGCAGATAATATTCGCTCCCAGAGCCACCACCGAGGACAGGGCACTGTGAAACAGGAACAGAACACACGCACACATGTCAGCAGCGGATCACAGTTATTGCTCTGCTGTCATTGTGCTATTGGACTAGTTGGCCATTCAGGATGATCTAACTCCTTAAACTGCAAGGGCAATATGCATATTAGTTTAATAGCAGTTAAAGAATAATTTACAATACTTGCTAGATAATATAACCACTTCAATCCTATGCTTATTATTCATTTATTAACCTTAAAAGAGTATTAAATCTTAAGATTACTGAATAGTAAGCCTTAAAATATGGATGTTCAAAGAATCATACAGGAGTTAAACTACAAAGACTTGAATGCACACCCACGCTTCAATTCCTCGCTCTTATAACTACTTAACTAACACATAGTTCCATAGTAGTTACCAAATAATTCATAGAACTTACTGAATAACAAGTCTTAAGATTATCAACTGAATAATAAGTCTATGGTATAAGGGGATGGTATAATTGACACTATAATTACACACTGTATATACTTACATACATATACACTAAAGTGTCTACTATAAATGAAGACTGGCCCTTAAGGTTTAAGGGATTACTAACTAAATAAGAAGCATGCTATTTAAAAGGTTAAAAAGGTTCCCTAAACCATTTTGACCAGAACAAAGGCTTTACTTGTGTTTTCTTTATATTTCTATATAAACTGTTTGTCTTTAATTCCCACACGTCATAGGAAAAATGCTGACTTTTTGAGGAATGCCATTACGGGAAGTCAAAGAATTCGAGAAAATCTTATGCTTTGTTCATGTAAAACACAACAGACAAGTCAAAACCGCTCATAAAATGAACATGAACAAGCACTCGCATGCGGGCAAGGAGCTACACTTAGTGGAAAAAAAAGCCAAGCAACGTCCAAACGAATTAGCACGGCAAAGTATGTTACTCTACAGAGAAAGACAATATGCAACCAAATGATCGCAGAATATACAGCCCAATTAAAACACAGCCACACACATAAAACCTAGATTATTCTTGTAATTCAAGCTTGCTACACATTCAGCTCATTCTTTAAAAATGTTCAGCTCAAAGTGAGGTATATTGCTGCACCAAATGTATGTACTATAGAGCAGTTGCTGAAGAAAAACACTGCCATGTGGAACAAATCCCTCCTTTTCTACGACCTAAACCCTCCTCTTATATGAAGAAGGCAGAGCCATCTATGCCATGATATAGCACTACTTTTATTTGCACTTGTCAAACACCAGAGAAGCTTATCACCACACACAAATCTGTAAAGGTTTAACAGGCAGCCGTATGAACCCGTACATCCACACACGCAGAGTGTCACAAAAAGTCCACTTGTTTGAGCTTCTCATAATTGAGGCTTTAACTCTGGTTGAATAATTGGAGTAAGCATTTTTAAACCACAACTACATTCAGAGGGAAGTTCACAGAGCTTCAGGAATCACAGTGATCCAAAGATATCACTCCATTTAGCTCTTCCACCAAGAATGGGTTTGGAAAATAAATGTGTATGTAAACATGTTGGAAAACAATGTTGTATCACTGAATCAATAATGCATTACTTTATGACCACAATACAGACCACATGCATCTATTCATCTGAAGATCTAAACATACTACTTATTTTCTGCATGAGTGAACAATATTAAAACACTGTAAGAGCTTGTTTTGATCCAATGAGAAATAACTCTGTTCTGCCTTACTCTCTCCTCCAACTCCAGCCTCTCAGATCTGAGCATGGTGTCCTAATGCGTTACCCTTACTTACTACATGACAGGTAATTTCATCACTTCTGCATGAAATCTATTCCTCACGGTGTGATTCTTAGCACTGGGCATGACCGGCAGAGTCATTAGGGAAGCGGAACCACCGCATGCTTCAGTGTCCAGTGTTTGCCAATCGGAAAAACAGCTACAGCTCTCTGAGGGTGGATTACTGTTTTCCATTGAAGTCTATGCTGTTGAATTGCTTTAGGTTTTATGATTTTGAAAGATTTAATGTTTCTATATTGTTTTATAAGCCAGTGCTGTTTTTCTAAAAGACAATTGGTCACTTGTTAACCCCTTGCATGGCCAGCGCCTGCCGGCTGCCCAAAGCTTTATTACATGCTTCTATAACTTAAGAATAACTCAACCAGTTTGTATTGAAGTCCCTGTAGTTACTGATTAATAAGACTTAGTGTGTAATTAGCCTGGGATTTTAAGGGGTTAATAATAATAGTACTACTAATACCAGTAATAATAATAATAAAAATAGATACTAATAATAATAAAAATAATAATAATAACAATAAAACATTACATAAATAATTCTACTACTACTACTAATAATAAAAATAATAATAATAATGACCCTTATAACCCTAAAAAGTACAGCACTACTACAGGAATTTCTACAGGGTTCCTGTAAGAATAAAATTCAGTCAGACAGTATAGTTTACTACAGAATACTACTACTAAGTATTAGATTACTATAAAACAGTACTACAGGAGAAAATATTACAGATCATGATTTATAGCGCACTGTAATATTATACAGCCCTGTAAAAGTCATATAGTTTTTATAGACTTACTATAGACCCTTTCTGTAAAGGAAATGATAATTACAACACCAACATAATAATAATAATAATAATAATAATAATAATAATAATGACTAGTTCCGATCAGTCCTTTCTCTGGAGCACCAGCCTGTGTGGCTTCACGCTCTCAGGTTCCCGTTGAAAGTCCTGCAGGTGCAGTAAACACTAAATCTAGCCTGCACTGCTCTCACTGCACCTGCTGCTCTCATCACCAAACACAGTTACACTGAGCACATGCACTATAACGCGCACCCCAAACACAGCCAGGCTGAGCACATGTACCATAACGCTCACTCCAAACACAGCCGGACTCAGCACTTGCGCCACAACGCTCGAATCAAACAGTGCCCCGTAACGCGCGCATCAAACACCCCCGTGTCACTCACAAACGACCCGTCAGACAGAACGCTGGGTGAAGCCAGAGCGGTGTAAACCCACAGGTAGCTGCCGCTGCTGAGGATGAGGAGGATCTGGGGGTAGTAGACTGACAGCAGCGCGCCGCGAGTGGAGCCCGCGCGCATGGTGCTGCAGAAGAGAAGCTCCGGATCCTTCCCGAGTGGTTTCTGGGCGTGTATTTTTTTTTAGCAGAAACGGCTGGGTGGGCGCTGTGCCCCCGTCACGCAGCTCCGCGCTGCCGAGCCCTCATCTCCTGCTCCAGGACTGAGGGAGGACTGCTGCTGCTGATGGAGGGAGCAGGGATTACATACGCGCGCATCGCTTCACTATTGGCAGGAGAGGGGTGGTGGGGGGGCAGGAAAAGGAGGGGTGGGCACCTCTGTGGTAGGGGTAGAGCAGGTAAAGCGGGACTTTTTTTGGTGTAAGGGCATGGGAATAGGTCATCACAAGTGAAGTGACATTAGTTTCAGATCAGTTACGATCTATAGATGCGTTCAAAACCACATATTACCATGCTACGCATACTACACGAATGAATGGACTTCTGTTAGTGGTGTACTATTTTTGACACACTATTTAGTATAGTATGCGCTTTTTGACGCAGATCTTGTGTATTTCTATGCTGAAATCTGTTGGTATTTGTTTTTCCCACCTTGGATTTGACCACCCTCGTCTCTTAGGTTAAAGTGGGGAAAAGCTGCGTCTACATTTAAAATGCGTTACCAATAGCCTTTAATTAAAAGCTGATAAAAGATAAAAGACAACAAACACGATGGTGACGTTTTAAAATCACTCAGTCAGAGAACAAGCAATTACATAATGCACAACTACGATTTATGGTTTTAGTTCAGGAACTCTTACGTCATAATGCTAAACAGCTCTTTGATGCGTTTGATTTTAAAAAGCCACGCCCACAATTGTGACGTCACAATCAATTACAAACTTTGGCTGCGTCTAAAAGCGCATACTACTACACTAAAAGCATGTCAAAATAGTATAGGATAGTAGTGGTTTTGGACGCAGCCGTTCATGTGTAGCACGCTTACAGCAACATCTAAGGAACATTCGTAGTCAATGGCTACAAAAGCAAAGTACAGTACAAGTCCTGCTTTACCTGAACTTCACAGGGCAGCTGGGCTCCTTTAGCTTCATATTATTTAGATCCTGCTTGACTTTGTCTTGAACGTAAGCTCAACTACAGTCTTTCTTCTGTGCTGTGAGATGTGATGCTCGGCTATGTCCATAACCATAATCAGTAATTAAATTTAACTAAGCATAACACGTGGGCTTTAGTGTTTTTTAGCCTTGCCAAACTGCAATCCTGCCAGTAAATGATGCATGCAGTGTCTGTCTTCACTGGAGGAGTTTGGACTGGTTCTCTAATAGAGAATAAACAGTGTGATAATGGCATGGTGTAGAAGAAGCACAGAGACAAGTGCTGGGGCATCTTTTCTCCATCTCTTTGCCAATTGTGCTGACTGTACTGGACATTATAGTGACTGATTAGCACACACGCTCACTTTACCTCTCTCATTTGGCCTTGCAGCACCGTTGTGAAGTAAATAGTCTTCCTCACTGGGCAGGTGCATTTACGATTATTGCTTTTTTATTACTTCCATTTAGTTTACACCCCCACACGGCCCATTTCTTCACTTCTTTAAAACATTACTTGTTGCACTCTTCACTGTGTTCTTCAGAGCAGTGATTGCCCCTCTCTTGTATTTGAATGTTAGAGTGCCCCCTCTGGTGGTAGTACGTGGGAGCTGCAATAACAATAGACTGACAGAGCTGCTAGCTTTGAAACTAGCCACTTTACAGGTCCAAAAGTGTCTGGACACTGTAGTGAATTCTGCTACTTTACCAATAGAATGGGACGCTCTAGAGCAGCTGGACAAGAGCCTAAGGTCACCATGCCCAATGCCAAGAAGCTAAACCCCCCCCCCAAGTGTTGGGTACGCTGCAGTTCTCTGGATGATGGAGCACCACCATCCACTACCTTTGGGATGAGTTGGAGCGGCATTTGTGATCCAAAGGTAATCATCCAACATCAGTATCTGACCTCACTAATGTTCCTGTGGCTGGAGGCCATCAATCTAATATTAAGATGACTCTAAAGGCCTTCATTAGCTGGATATGGTGTGATAGACTATGGTTGATGCTAAACTCTGCAGGGTGGTAGATCTCCAGGACCAGGATTGGGCACCACTGATCTAGTGTAAAGCCCTCCCAGAAGAGTAGAAAACAAGGACAAAATTAATACCCTTGACTCCCAAAGAAAAGTTGTATGAGACATGCCTGCAGACTTCTGGACATACAACAGCAGTGGCTTCAGAGTGGGAACATTCTGTTTTCAAAGTGGGTTGAAGGTTGAAGAATCAAAGTTAACATCCCTTTTAACGTCTCTTTTAAAGATGCCACATTTAACGTCTCTTTTTTAAAGATGCTCTTTGCAAACACTGGCTTGTTTGCCCTGAAGCAGAGAGGCTATGGAGGGTGTTGTAGGCGGAGGTGGCCCTGTGTAATATCATAAAGCTTCAAAGCGCGGACATGTTTATGAGGCTCTCTCTCTAACGCTGAGATCAAAGTGCACTGTGGAGGTCTCCAGCGTGTCTTTAGTGGATGTTTCTAATAGACGCTAACGTAGTGCTAAATCTATATAGACTGCAGCTAATGGAGCGCATTAGCTTTTCTGCTTTAAGTGTGCCAAATAGCTTGGGCTCCATGTATCTTCCCTCATGCACATTCAGGTACTCTCATCAGTGTCTTAATTACGTTATAGAGGGCCTCATCATTGCCTTAATTGTGTTAGGCAGGGCCTACAGTTTAAATCCTATTTGACATTAGTCTGCTCTTGCCAATTACACTCAATGCTGGTGTTCTGAGCCAGAAGGCTTATAGGTAATGTCTCTGCCTGCAGGTCCGTAGCACTATAAAACATTGCAGCCAAGAGAAAACTCTGGAAGGGAGATCTTCTCAGAGAGAGAGGGAGAAGAAATCCCATCAATTGCCTTTGTTAGTGTATTCGACCACAGGTCTCAAAGCCAAAACTGCACTTTAGCTGTGCTTTCACTGTTTGGAAGCTTATACAAATGGTATCTGTTTCTTTTCAGTTCCTCAGGACTGTGGAGGAAAAAGAAAAATAGAGCCATTTTTCTCTCGGGCCGGGAGAAACATCTCAGCGTCTCGTCGAATTTTATCAATGACCCGTCACCTCAGGAGCCCTTCACCAAGCACTGCCAAGGCTGTTATTCTCCCATCAGATCTCATTATGTGAACTTCACGGCTAAATCCTATGAACTGACAAAGGAAAATTGCAACCATGTTTACTGTACCCGTGTTTCAAGCTAAACTTCGGCATTTACTGTCTCTGTAGCATCTTGCAACTTTTTGACGAACAGATGAGGATCAAAGGAAGAGCAACATGTCTTTTTTTTCAGCAATGAGTTGCTCAAAAACATCTGTGTAAATCATGAGTCTTTATAATTCATCCCAGAATATACGTTTTTTTTTAATCATTGCTCCCAATGTTCGCATGAAACAGATGCAAGGGCACAAACAAAGGGACAGAAACATCTGGGGGCATGCAGGCAGTTACAGTGGTTTAACAGCCTGAAAGAGCCCCTGACAGACTGAAAATCTCCTGCCCCTCCTTTCTCTCTGATGTACTGAGTAAATGAATGTTGCACATTCCCACAGACACGCGGATCCACTTTATGCCCTGGAGATTCTTCTTTGTGTCCGGAGTGGGCTGCTGTTAAGCACAGTTGGTGGTTTAATTCACCAAATTCTTCATTTTGACTGAATTAGAAATAGCGTTTTATATAGTTATGCATTATAATAGTATCCTATGTCATCTTGGTCTTGACCAGGCTCAGGGACTTCTAGGTCTTCAGAGAAGTCCTAATGATTTCTGGGAACTAAAAATATAAGTCTGTAGTGTTTAGTTCATTTGTATTCAATAGAATCATTCTTATATTTAAGCTCTGCATGTAATACAGTACTTCTCATGTTTCATTGTTAAGTTCTGGATGGAAACAAAAGGGTTAAATTCTTGAAACTTTTGGCGGAAAGTTGGCTAATCCGAAATTGTTTCTCTGCGTCTTGCTAAGCGAGCCTGTTGGTTAGGACTTCAGGAGCTGAAGAGAAGGCCTAGCATGTTAGATTAACCATCAGCAGATTTACGAAATGACCAGTCATGTTTTAATTTCTAATTGGCAGGAACAATTTTGTGAGATAAAACATCACTCTAGGCCTTCTGGAAGACCCAAATATATCACTGACTGTGAATATGAGCGGCAGCCTTATCAGTGGGCTTTTAGAAATGGCAGGAAATCGCTTTTAGTTTAGTGCTAAGAAACTGTTAGAATCCCATAGGGACACTTGAAGGAATTAGCATTATTGCAGAGGTGGATTTTCCCTCAAGTTTTGCCAAAGGTTGTAACATTTATGTGTGAAATTGAAAGCCTAGCTCTAATAGTCACAGTTCGCCACTAAGGTATACACCATTATAAATAATTTGGGTAGAATTTCTGCAGTTCCAACTGTTTATTCTTTTAATAAAGTACAAGCAACCATTGAACACATGGGCGCAACCCCTATGACCCCTTCTGTTGAAGATTAGTGAGTATCCCTTTCAGGCACTCTGTTTTAAAACTCTTTTTAACATGCTTTCATCGACTTAGCCTCAAAATTTCCCCTTGGAATCCACAATGCCATCTTGAAGGGGAAAATTTGAAAAATTGGTGGAATTCCCCTTTACCATAACACCATTACTCTGTTAGCTCAAGTGAATTTTATTATATGAGCTCTTGGAAGGGTGAGGGACAGAGTGAACGTGAGTGCTGACTTCAGTTACAGAAACTGCCCAGAAACCATTGCCATGTTATGCAGTTCCCCTTTCAAATGTGGTAAAATGGAGGACAAAGTAGTTCGTAAACCACAACAATAAAATACTTGAAATTAAATGATTAATGCTTCATGACTGTAATTAATAATATCTGACTGCTGATGTAACTTCCTTACTTTACTCTTTAGGCTTGCTGGTTAGAAAGCTAAAGGCTACTTAGACAACAGCAAAAAGAAAGGTTTTAAACCAAAGCTTAAGGCCAGACAAAACAATCATTCACAAAATGTATGTGCAAATTTATCAGTGAAACTTATTGTGTTACAAAGTGTGCATGGCTATCTAATTTGTACACTGAAGCCAGCCTAGCTGAGGGTGAGTGCATTCTGATTGACAAATCTGTTCTTCTTTGTCCCCTCAGATGGATTTTTTGCGCATA